AACCCCTGATAATACTGTTCCACACACGCTGCTTTCTGAGCACCTTCCTAGGTCCCAGCCGGCAGCCCTGCCCAGCCTTCTCCCTTTCCTTTCTTCCAGCTAAGCCCTTGGGTCCAGCCCACCTTTCCTCCAGATTCTTTTTTGTTTGGTTGGTTTTGGTTCTGGTCACACCCAGCAGTGCTGAGTGGTTCCTTATAGCACAGCGCTGACCCCTCCCCCCTCCCCCCACCACACACAACACAACTGCATCAAGCAGAGCTGGGGACAGAACTGGATAGCACAGGTCTGCAGGTGGTCCCTACTTCTGTCTTTGTTTTGTTTTGGGTCACATCCAGCGATGCTCAGGGGTTTCTCCTGGCTCTGTGCTCAGGGATCACTCTTGGCAGTGCTCAGGGGACCATATGGGGCGCCGGGGATTGAACCCAGGTGGGCCACATGTAAGGCAAACGGCCTCCCCACTGTACTATCGCTCTCCAGGCCCCTACTTCTGTCTTTGAAGCACTGCAGTGCCCTGGACCGCCCCCCCCCCCCGCCATTTACCCGGAGAAGCTGCTACTCTACCCTGTGCCAGCCACCTTCTGAACCATGCCTTTCGGGTGCGTCCTGCCACCGGTCACAACCACTTCTGAAAGGGCTTCATCCAAGGCTGACGTGCACAAGCTGTGTCCGGCCTCATCTGCTTGGACATTGTGTGTGTCCTCCAAACTGTCACTAAAGACAGTGAGCCTGGAGCTGCCTCCCCGCCCCGCCCCTTCTCTACAACCTCCTCTCCCTGGCCACCCCCCAGCCACACCCACCATTCCCCTGTCTTCGCCTGGAAAAAGCACCCAGCAGGACTGTCCCTTTCCTTGACGCCTACCGCCTTATCTTAAAGGCAAAGGAGAGCCACTATGTCCTGGGGACACAGAGGCTGTGTGCCCTGGGCGCTTAAAGGCCCCATTGTTGGCCGCAGGGCCAGGCACTAGGCGGTTTGGGAGCTGCCCCTCCCCCCCGCCCGGTGCCAGCTGCTCAGGTGCAGAGCTCCTGGCATACTCCGGGGCTCGGGGTCCATTCCTCACTCTGGATCAAACTTACCAGTACCTGGGGACATTCCAGGTTGTCCCCCTGTTGGGGGTGGATCACCACCCGTGTGGGGGATGTTTGGAAACCGGGGCTGCCGCTGACCTGCCGAAGTGCCCTCTGGAGACAGACCGCACCCCAGAGGCTGCGGCTGAGAGCCCCCCATTCTGGGTGAGGACACTAATTCTGCTTTTCTGAATGCAGGGGATGGAAATGCAGAGGCTATTGGAGCCACGGGGGCGGTACCAGCGGCCCCAGAGACTAGCCGAGACATAGCCGCTTCCTGTGAACAAGCCCAGGGCTTGACCGGAGGCATCGGTCTGACTTCTCCTAGGTGCTGAGAGCACTGCGGTCAGACGGCCGGACAGCACCCAGGAACGCTTCCGAGGTGCCCGCTGGGAGGTAAGCCAGGACGCAGAGCCAGCACCCTGCAGCTGGCTGTGCATTCACAGAGCCGGCAGGGAAGAGGGAGTGCCCACCTGCCCCCCAGCTGGGGACATGAGAAGGGCTGGCACCTCTGGGATGCTGTCCCAGCGTGACCAGATATGTCAGAGCACATCTCCTGCGGCTCCTCCCCCCGCCCACAGGCATGGGTCTCTGCCTGTCATATAAGGACCTTCCCAGTGGCCGGGCCAGAACTGGCGGGCCCTGCCCTGCGGTGGGACTGGCGGAGCGCGGGGCGGTGAAGTCGGGCACGCTCAGGGGCTCCGCGGCTTGACGGCAGAACTTAGCCCAGACTTCCCCAAGAGGCAGGTAATGAGAGACGGAGACCTGGGCTTGCAGCAGCCTCTGTGAAACAGAACCCGCCGCGCCTGTGTGCGTGGTGCTGGTGACATTTTGATTGAAACCAGGTGTGGCTGCTGCACGGGAGGCTTTGTCTGAGGTGCCTGAGCCAGCTCGGCAGAGGTTTGGGGAGAGGAGATCTGGGGAGTCTGTGTGGGGTCAGCGGGGAGGGGGGGCGGTGACTGCTCCGGGGAGCCCCCCAATCCGAGTGCAGAGACTGCAGGTGGAGCCCCGAGGTGCCACTAACAGCTGTGTCAGGCTGAGGAACTAGCTGCCACAGAGACCCGGGCTCCAGGGACAGGTGGAACCCCTTGGCGTCCAGGAAGGAATGTCCCTAACCACAGGGTTTGTTTCCGGGAGATGTGGAAGGCCTGGCCAGCGGCCATCAGCTGTGGCCCTCAGGGCTTCTCTTCTGGGGGGGAGGGTGCTCCAGGGAGTGGAGGCCAGTCAAGATGCCACAAGTGGAACACCTGAAGCGAGGGGGGCCAACCTGGGCAGAAAGGAGACGGAGGAAGCCAGGATGGGCGCTCTCTCTCACCCTCTGCCGGAGGGGATGCAGCTGAGCCCTGTCAAGGCTTCTGCTTCCCTAGGCAGGACGGGAAGGGCTGGTCAGAGCTGATCGGAGGGGAGGCCCACATTCGCTCCCCTGGGGCCAGCCTCCAGCCGGGGGTGGAGGCTTTCCAGGCAGCCGGCCTGACCTTTCTTTTAGGCCAACGACAAGGGGGAAGGGCGAGGGACTCCTGAGCTAGGTGGGGCCAGCCCTGCCCCTTCTTCCCCTCCACGGGGTTCTCTTGCTCAGACTGAGGAAGACCGTGACTCACTTCCGGCCTCCTCCTGGTGGCAGTGCCCGGCACAAGCATTGTTCTTGAGGTTGGGTTGAGCTTGGCCTTGCTGGGGCTCCCCCTGGGGCGGCTCCGTGAGTCTGAGCGCTCCTGGAGTGGCAAGTGGCTTTAGGGTCACGTCAGCAGCGAGGGCTTAGCCGAGACCAACCCCTGAGAAGTGAGTAACTTGACCGAAGGTGGGATCTGTTGCCCTCCCTTAATCCAGGGCTCCCTCAGGGATATTACTCAACTCCCTGGGCCTCCCGGGGAAAACGCAGATAGTGGGACAGAAGCGGCCTCCAGGGAAAAGTACTGCACCCACCTCACTTGGCAGGAAGAGTGAATGCCTGGAAAGAGCTCAGCGCCGCAGCAGCTGACAGGAAGCTGGCGCTGCTGGTTCTCCCTGGCCTGTGTCGGGGAGAGAGGCCTCCTGGGCCACAGGCTGTGTCACGGGGGCGAGAAACCCCGGCAGAGATGCGCTGTGACCTTGGAGAGGCTCCTGGCGACGCTTTCTCCCTCTTCTTTCTCAGCTCCAGCAGCCATGGCCTCAGCCAAGTGGCACAGCCGTTTTCTAGGGCAGGAGCAGGAAGGGCCAAGAGCCGCGGTCAGCGTCAGCAGCTCTGTCTTGGCCCCACAGCCTGCCTATTGTGGGGCTCTGGCAAATTATTACTACAGTTTCTTTTAATTATTTTGGGGTCATACCCAGAAGTGCGCAGGGCTCTGTGCTCAGGGATTGCTCCTGGCAGGCTCAGGGGACCACACTGGACGCCAGGGATTGGACCTGAGGGAGCCACGTGCAGGACAAGCTCTGTACTGTATCTCCAAGCCCATTTTTGTTTTCAGGGAAGCAAAATCTTTTTTTTTTCTTTCAGTTCCTCACCTGCCAATGCTCAGGGGTTACTCTGTCCTGATCTCAGGGATCTCTCCTGTGGTGCTAGGGGGACCATACGGGATGCCAGAGATTAAACCCAGGTATAAGGCAAATGCCCTCCCCTTTTGCCAGTACTATTGGTCCAGCCTGAAAAAACACTTTTTACTGAAAGGAATTCAGAAACATGTTGAGAGGGAAGGAGAGAGAAAGGTAGGAAGAGAGAAGAAACAGAGAGAGATTGTTCTGGAGAGGATGTGGACTTCTTCAGAGGGGTAAAAGCTAGACAAGTTATTTAATGTGGTGTGCCTCAGTTTTCTTATCTGTAAAATGGGATTAATTGTGTCAGCCTGGAAGGATTATGTGGATTAAATAATGTACATAAGGAGATAATGTGAAGTAACTGGCCTGGTGCCTGGCGGGAGTTTTTTTGTTTTTTTCCAAAAAAAGGAAAACAAGGGGCCTGAGTGGTAGTCTAGGTAGTACAGAGGTATAGGGGTGGGCCCTAACCCTTGCATGCCCTAACCCAAGTTCAAGCCCCAGCACCCCATGTGGTCCCGCAGCAGGGCCAGGAGCGATTCCTGAGTACGGTCAAGAGTAGTAACCCCTGACTGTTGCCTTGTGTGTCACAAAAACAAAATCAAAAATCAAAAGTGGGGGGCGAGGAGACAGTACAGGGGACTGGGTACCTCCTTGCACGGTCAGACGCTGCTAGACCCCCCATCCCACACAGACCCCCGCGTGTACCCCACACACCTAGCTGGCCAGGATCCCACACGGGTGACGCCCTCTTCGGTTTCTTCGTTGGTCTTTCTTTCAGTTAACAAAATAAGGAAGGGCCGAGCTGGGTTAGTCCAGGGGTGAAGGCGCTTTTCCTGCATGCGGCCCACCTGGGTTCAGTCGCTGCCCTCGGCCCCAAGCACCTCCAGGAGCGGTCCCTGAACACAGCAGGGTGTGACCGCCCGCTCCCCCCAAAAAGTGAGCGGCTGGAGAGACCTTGAGGGGCTGGAGCACTGGGCGCGCATGCCGGGGGCCCGGGTCCAGTCCCCGGCACCGCGCGGCGGCGGGAGCACCGAGCTGGGAGTAGCCGGGGGGCCGGGTGCGGCTCAAACGCGCCCGCCCGCCCCCAGCCCGCAAAGGGGCCGCGGGCAGCTTCCGCGCCGCCACCCGTCCGGGGCCGCGCGCCGAGGTCCGCGGGGCTCGCGGGGCGGGGCGGGAAGGGCCGGGCGGCCGGGCCGCTCCCCGGCCCGCCCACCGGGCCGCCGGGCGCCGGAGGCCGCGCAGGCCGCGGGGCGGGCGGCGGCGGGGGCGGCGCGCGCGGCGGGGAGGGGCGCGCGGAGGACGGGAGGAGGAGCCGCGGCCGCCGCAGCCGCTGACAGCGGCCGAGTAAACAAGCCGCGCGCCCGCCGCGGCCCGGCCGCCCCCGCCGCCGCCGCCCAGGCCAGCCCCGCCGCCGGCCGGGCCGAGGCGCCTCCGCGCGGGGACGCGGCGCCGGGCGCGGGACGCGAGCGCAGGGCCCGCGCCGGCGAGCGGGCCCAGCCCCGAGCCGCGCGGCGCCCGCCGGAAAGTTTCCGCCCGCCCCAGGGTAAGCGCCGGCCCGGGCCCGGGAGGAGGCGCGCGGGCCAGGGCCGGGCCGGGCCGGCGGCGGGCGCGGGCGCGGGCGCGGGCGCGGGGCCGCCCTGCCCTGGGCCCCGGGCCGGCGGCGGCGGCGGCGGGCGCGCGGGCGCGGGCGCGCGCGGGCCGGGGGCGCCCCGCAGCCCACCTGAGCGCCGGCGCTTCCCGCCGGGCCCGCCGACCGCCGAGACGCGGCCGCGTGCGGGGCTGCGGGGCTCGGCGCGGGGGAGGGGAGAGCGCCGCGCGGGCCCCGGGCGCGGGGGCTCAGGCGCGCGGCCCCGGCGCGGGGCGAGGCGGGCTCGGGGTCGTCCGCCGGCCGGGACCCCGGACGGGCCGACAGCGCCGCGGGGCGGGCGGGCCCCGCGCCCCGCCGCCCCCTCCCGCGCGTGCGCCGCCCCCGGGTGCGGGGTCTTTCCGGCCCCGGGCCGGGGAGGGCGGGCAGGTGCTGGCCGGGATGGGCACAGCCCGGAGCGTGGCCGAGCCGCGCCCGGCCCCGCTCTCCAGGCTCCGGAGGGGCCGCCTTTCAGACGAGGACCCCGTGGCTGCGGAGGGGAAAGAAAGTTTGGAGAGCGCCGGGCCGGCAGCTCTCCCGCCGAGGGTACGAGGCCCAGAGAGAGGAAGTGACTCGTCCCAGGTCACACAGCGGGGGGCCTCGAAGGCCTGGGCTGGGCCCGGCCTGCGTCCGCTGGAAGCAGAGGGATCGGGTTTCCTGGGCAGCCCGGCCGCCCGCCGCCGCGGACCCCAGGGCCCGTCTGGGCTCCTGCCAGCCCGTGGGGGTTCCTGGGACTTCGCTGGCTCTGCGAGCTGGACAGGGCAGCCGCCCTCTGACCCCGGCGTCAGAGGCGGGACCGGCCCGAGCTCCAGGTCGCACCCCGCCGGTGCCCGAGCCAGCGCGAGTCGGTGCGGGTGGAGGTGGTGAGTGCGGGCTGCCTCCTTCCTTGTTCTCCCCCTGCTCTTTGAGGAAGGGGCTCCTCTCCCTCCCGCCCCCCTCCCTCTGAGTCCCCGGCTTCGCCACCAGGGGATTTCTGAGCCCTGGGAAGACCCTCCCCAGGACTGGGGGCTTGGGCCAGGTTTGGGGCTTTGCCCAGAGCGCCCCAGCCAGGTGCTGCGGATCATTGACTCAGGATGGACCCTCCACCCTAGGTAGCCAGGGATTGCCTGCCGCTCGCAGCCCTTCCGTCAGGGGTGTCTGTACTGACACCTGGGTCCCAAGGGGCAGCTCTTCGTGGCAGGGGGGGACTGTGCCCACTCCCGCCCACACACACATCCTCTGCTCAGTGCCCTGGGGACCTGGGCATCTGAGTGCCGGGCTTTCGCTCCGCTCCGTTCCGGAACTTGGCCTCTCCAGGGTTCCCGGGGCCGTGACTTCCAGGCCCCGCTGGAGGCCTCTGGACTCTGCCCCCAAGAGGCACGGAGGCACTCTGGGCTGCTGGGCCTCTTGCTGTCAGCTGTCGGGGTTATTTTGGTGTAAACCGAAAATACGCCGGGAATTGTGTGTGAGTCCCCCAGCCTATGGGGTGGGACTATACAAGGGGTGGTCACAAGTCGCCAGGGCCGCCGCGACGATGCCTCTTTTGTGCCCATCTGCCCAGCCTCTCAGGGCCTGGGGGAGCCTGGGGGCTTGGTTGTGCCTTCCTGCAGAGAATGCTCTCTGGGGACTGGGCCTTAGGGTGTGGGAGCATCCACACCCTGAGGGGGCCTCCCCTGCCTCTCCCACACTGGCCGGGGCTTGGCTTCTGGCTCTTCCGGGGAGGCCCGTGTGGGAACAGTTATGTGGCCCCCGCAGAGAGGTCCTGCTGTCTGTTTGCTGAAGGAGGAAAAACACCGCTGGGATATTGATTCTGCCTCACCTTGGAGCTCCTGGCTTGGCAGGCCGCAGGCGGCCCTAGCTCAGGTTACGCAAGGCGGGTGGGCGTGGAGTGAGCGAGGGGGCTGCTGGGGTGTCCAGGCCCAGGCCGGGCAGGGCCCCAGCGTTCCCCGGGAAACTGTGAAGTCAGAGCCGGGCGCTGACTGCTGACAGCCTCCGGCTGGGCCCAGGGAGGAGAGGCGCTGTGTCCTCGTCCCCTGCCCATCCTCGTCCTGCGGCCCCACCTGCCCCCTCCCTTGCTCGGGCCTTGGTTCTTGGCGGGTCACACCCTGCGGCTGGGTGCGCTTTGCTGGTCCAGCAGACTCCAGTGAGCTGGTAGAAAGCCCAGCGCCTGTTCCTCTGCGCAGCAGACCTGGGTGGGTGGGGAATTACACACAAAGAAAACAGCCGCTCCTCGTAAGGCTCACCATCCTGAGGGGGACCCGCGGTCCACAAGTGAGCAAGAGCCCTCCCCGGTCCCCGGCTTGGTGGTCGGATGTGACTGCGCCCCTGGAAACATCCCCTTAAACCGAGGACGGGCATCGGCGTGGGCTCCGGCGCATGCTCTGCCCCGTGGCCCCTCTTTCCACATCCACGGGGTGAGCGCGTCTTGGGTTGTCATCTCTGAGTGACTCAGGTCTTGGTTCTCTTCGTCCCACTTCTGTCTTCACCGGCGGAGGGAAGCTGGGAGCTGTTTGTGGGCAGAGTGTCCCTGTGTCTGTCTGCCCCGTGCCCTGACAACCAGGATTGAGCCACGGGTGAGGGGTCAGCTTCCGCCCATGGCTGGGGAGGGACTGACCCTCCCCCCTTCGTCTTTTGTCCCCTCAGAGCCGGCGGCCCTCATCCTCCTGTGCCAGCCCTGCCCGACCCGGCCCCATGCCCCCTCCCGCCAGCCCTGGGCCACAGGCAGAGAGCAGGCGTCCGGGAGCCGAGGCCCTGTGACCAGGCCCAGGAGACAGGGGCTCGGGGGCCCGGCCACCTGCCCCTCCATGGAGCTGAGGCCCTGGGTGCTCTGGGTGGCAGCAGCGGCAGGAGCCTTGGTCCTGCTAGTGGCTGATGCCCGTGGCCAGAAGGTCTTCACCAACACGTGGGCCGTGCACATTACAGGGGGCCCGGCCGTAGCTGAGAGTGTGGCCCGTAAGCATGGCTTCCTCAACCTGGGCCAGGTGGGTGTCCGGGGCCGGGAGGATGGCCAGTGCACATGTTCTGGGGACTGGGGGTCGGAGGCGGTGGGGGCCCGTGGCAGCTGAGGTTGCTCGGAGGGCCAGTGCATCCCAGCGGCTGGAAGCCCCCTCGGTCCCCCGCGAGGTCCCCTGCTGGATCTCAGACACAGAGCGGGTCCCCCCGCTCCCCCCTGCCCCCGCAGTAGAGAGCCTCCTCGCAGCCTGGTGTCCACCCCCGTCCCCCGCCTCCCCGGGGACTGGCAGATGGAAGCCCAGCTCCGTGTCCCTGCTCTCCCGCAGATCTTCGGCGACTATTACCACTTCTGGCACCGAGCAGTGACAAAGCGGTCCCTGTCACCCCACCGCCTGCGGCACAGCCGTCTACTTCGGGAGCCCCAAGTGAGCGTCCCTCCCCCTCCCGGCCTGCTGCCCCGCTCCCCCTCCACCTGTCCACCCCAGCAGTGGCCCCCACACTCACCACCACTCCCCCCAGGTCCAGTGGCTGGAGCAGCAGGTGGCCAAGCGGCGACCCAAACGGGACGTGTACCGGGAGCCCACGGACCCCAAGTTTCCCCAGCAGTGGTACCTGGTATGTGGCCCCGGGTGCTCTTTGCCCTCCTCAGGGGCCTGCCCCTAGTCCAGTTGTGGCCCCTGGGAGCCCGAGTTCCCGGTGGTAGCAGCGTCTCAGGAGGTTTGGGGCAGTGAAGGGGTTCTCGGATGTCACCGTGGGTGTTTCCACAGTCTGGCGTCACCCAGCGGGACCTGAACGTGAAGGAGGCCTGGGCCCAAGGCTTCACGGGCCACGGCATCGTGGTCTCCATCCTGGACGACGGCATCGAGAAGAACCACCCGGACTTGGCAGGCAATTATGTGAGGAGAGCGGCGGGTGCGCGCAGGGCGGGGGGCTCTGATCTCCACGGTCAGGGGCTGCTTCTGACGCTAGCCACACCCTTCCCAGGACCCCGAGGCCAGCTTCGACGTCAACGACCAGGACCCCGACCCCCAGCCTCGGTACACGCAGATGAACGACAACAGGTAGGAGCACGGCCCGTGGCAGGTATTGGCGGGGGTCCGAGGAGGGGGTGCTCCCCTGCCCGCTCCCACTGATGCCATCCTCTCCAGGCACGGCACCCGCTGCGCAGGGGAGGTGGCTGCTGTCGCCAACAACGGAGTCTGTGGTGTTGGCGTGGCCTACAATGCCCGCATCGGAGGTGGGTGTGGCCACCTGGGTGAGGGGGTCCTGCGGGGTGGGTGGGGGATCGTCTCTCCTCCCGCTTTCTGCCCGGCCACCAGTCCGCTGCCTTCCCCTCAGTGCATCCTTTTGTTTGGGGTAGACGGATGAGGGTCGGGGAAGTCCCAGCTGAGGGACCACCCCCGGGGAGCCTGCGCTATGGGGAGGGAACCTGTGTGCTGACCGCTGCCCTCTGTTGAGCCTCAGAGGGTGCTGGACATCTTCAAGTGTGTGCAGCAGGGGCTCTCCCCGAGCCCCCCCTCTCCCGCCGTGCCAGATCCCCAGCCGCGTCCCCATGTGTCCCTGGGTGTCCGTACCCGTCTCGCTCCCTGGCTTTTGTCTTTGCAAGGCAGGTCAGGCCAGGCAATTAGGGGCTTGGGTCATCGTCCCCTTCCCAGCGTCTCCTGCTGTTCTCGGGGGTCCGGGACTACTCCAGGGGTGCCCCCGGCAGCGGGACCCACGCAGCCTCCCTCTCCCTGCCCCCCTCCGTGGCCAGGGGTGCGCATGCTGGACGGTGAAGTGACGGACGCGGTGGAGGCCCGCTCGCTGGGCCTGAACCCCAACCACATCCACATCTACAGTGCCAGCTGGGGCCCCGAGGATGACGGCAAGACAGTGGACGGGCCTGCCCGCCTGGCCGAGGAGGCCTTCTTCCGGGGGGTCAGCCAGGTGAGAGGTTCCCGGACCTGTGTCTGGGGGCTTGCCGGGTGCTGGCTTCTTCCAGCTCACTCTTTCAGCTCTTGCTTTATCTTTTTTTTTTTCTGCAAGAAACCATGTTTATCTGTCCTGCATGACACAATTGTTTATGATATGAAAGTCCAAAAGTCACAGTGTGAAGTTATTATAATTATTATATTAGTGGTAACATGGTTTACAGTAGTATCCACATTTACACCTCTGCTATTTCCGCACCCCCCCCCCCCCCGGGTGTGTGTGTGTGTGTCTGCTATTTCCGCACCCCCCCCCCCGGGTGTGTGTGTGTGTGTGTGTGTTCCCGTGTGTGTCCGTGTGTGTGTGTGTGTGTGTGTGTGTGTGTATCCATACTTGGTGATGCTCAGGCCTTACTCCTGACTTTGCACTCAGGAATTACTCCTGGCATTGCTCAGAGGATCTTTGGGATGCCAGGGATGGAACTCAGGTTTGCCACCTACAAGGCACACGCCCTCCCCGCTGTCCTGTTGCTCTGTCCCTGAGGTCTAAACTTTCTTTACTCCTGTACCACCAAAGTGTCAAGGACCTTCCACCACCATCCGTGTCATTTCCACATACCCCAACTTTTCCTCCTTCTGCCTTCCTTCCCAGCGTATGGTGCGCTTGTCTTGCACGCTGCTACCAGGTTTGATCCCTGGCATCCCATATGATCCCATAGATGTGATCCCTGAGCACAGAACCTGGAGTAAACCCTAAGCATAGCCAGATGTGGCCCCAAAATAAAATGTTTTGACTTGGCAAAATATTGATTGAGGAGCTGGGGAGGTTGTACAGAGGACAGTGTGCTTGCCTTTGCACATGGCAGGCCCGGGTTCGAGCCTTAGCACCCCATGGGTTCCTTAAAGCTTCAGCCAGGGGGAAGCCCCGAGCACCTCCAGGTCTGGTCCAAAATGCAACAGCAAACAAAGCTTGTTTATCGAACTGTGAAAGGGGGAAGTCCATAAATGATTAAGGGACTAGAGGAACTGAAATGGGGGACAGCCCATGGCTCAGCGTGGGGAAGCCCTCGCTGAGCACGGACGACTAACTCGGCTCGGTGGCAGTCTGCGTCTGTTCTGAGCACGCACGCCGGAGCGGGGAGACCCTGAAGCCTCACAGGGAACCCGGCCGGCCGTGGCCTTCCCGGCCCCGTCGAGTCCCTCAGGACCTGGAAGTCTTACTGGCCTCTGAGCTGTGCCGTCTCTGTCCACAGGGCCGCGGGGGGCTGGGCTCCATCTTCGTCTGGGCCTCGGGAAATGGGGGCCGGGAGCACGACAGCTGCAACTGTGACGGCTACACCAACAGCATCTACACACTGTCCATCAGCAGCGCCACACAGCTGGGCAACGTGCCCTGGTACAGCGAGGCCTGTTCCTCCACGCTGGCCACCACCTACAGCAGCGGCAACCAGAACGAGAAGCAGATTGTGAGTGAGCCCCCGGGAAGCAGGCACTGGGGTCCCCAGCCTTCAGCTCAAGCTCCTGGGGCCCAGCTGGACAGGGCACTAACGTGTCCACAGTCGGGCCACGGGTAGGGAGGGGACGCAGACAGGGGGCCCCCGCCAGTCCCCATCACCCAGCATGGGCCTGATCCTGTGTCTTCCTGCAGGTGACCACTGACCTGCGGCAGAAGTGCACCGAGTCCCACACGGGCACCTCGGCCTCTGCCCCTTTAGCAGCGGGCATCATCGCCCTCACCCTGGAGGCCAAGTGAGTTGGGGTTGGGGAGTGCAGAGGGGCTATCCTGGTGTCCAGCGTCTCATGGGCACTGAGTCCTCGGCTTCCCCCCCCCGTCCTTGGCAGCAAGAACCTCACCTGGCGGGACATGCAACACCTGGTGGTCCAGACCTCGAAGCCAGCACACCTCAACGCCAACGACTGGGCCACCAACGGCGTCGGCCGGAAAGGTGTGAGGGCGGCCCGGGGGTTGGGCCAGGACTGGGGTGTGGGGGTCCCTCCTGCTCACCGACTCGCCTGCCGGCGGCTCCTCCCCGCAGTGAGCCATTCCTACGGCTACGGGCTGCTGGACGCTGGCGCCATGGTGGCCCTGGCCCAGAACTGGACGACGGTGCCCCCTCAGCGGAAGTGTGTCATCGACATCCTCACGGAGCCCAGGTGAGGGCCAGGCCCTGGCTGCGTGGGGCGTACATGAGGGGTGGCAGGGGTAGGTCAGGTGATGGACGCCCTGGTGCCCCCCCGCAGGGACATTGGGAAGCGGCTGGAGGTGCGGAAGTCGGTGAGCGCCTGCCTGGGAGAGCCCGGCCACGTCAGCCGGCTGGAGCATGCGCAGGCGCGGCTCACCCTGTCCTACAACCGGCGCGGGGACCTGGCCATCCACCTGGTCAGCCCCATGGGCACTCGCTCTACCCTGCTGGCTGCCAGGTGCCTCCCTCCCTCCCCGCCCCTCTCCGGGGGGCTGCTCCGCCCCGTGGGAGTCCCCTGACCAGCAGGCAGTGCCTTCCTCGGGCTGAGGGAGATGGACGGCCTGGGAATCAGGCCATGGGCGTTCCCGACCCAGGGGGTTGGTGCTGCAGGGCTGTGGGGGGTCTCATGCACCTGACCACCCTCCCCGCAGGCCGCACGACTACTCGGCTGACGGTTTCAACGACTGGGCCTTCATGACCACCCACTCCTGGGACGAGGACCCCGCTGGCGAGTGGGTCCTGGAGATCGAAAACACCAGTGAAGCCAGCAACTACGGTAGGGAGGGCACTGCCAGGGCTGCCCGGAGTGGGGAGGTCCTGGGGACGCGCCTCTCACTCTCGCCTCCCCCAGGGACACTGACCAAGTTCACGCTGGTGCTGTATGGCACCGCCAGTGAGGGGTCGCCCACACCTCCTGAGAGCATCGGCTGCAAGACCCTCACGTCCGGCCAGGCCTGCGTGGGTCAGTGTGGGGCCTCGGGGGCCGTGGAGGGGTCTGGCGGTGCCGTCCCTGAGCCCAGGGGTGGGTGTGGCGCTTCCTGGCCGCCCGCTGAGCCTCCCTCGTGCCCCTCCCCCGCTGCAGTGTGCGAGGAGGGCTTCTCCCTGCACCAGAAGACCTGCGTGCAGCGCTGTCCCGCCGGCTTCGCCCCCCAGCTCCTGGCCACGCACTACAGCACCGAGAACGACGTGGAGACCATCCGGGCCAGCGTCTGCGCTCCCTGCCACATCTCGTGTGCCACCTGCCAGGGGCCGGCCCCCACGGACTGCCTCAGCTGCCCCAGCCATGCCTCCCTGGACCCTGTGGAACAGACCTGCTCGCGGCAGAGCCAGAGCAGCCGGGCCTCCCCGCCGCAGCAGCCGCCGGGGCCTCCCGCCAAGGCCGAGGCCGAGCCGGACCTGCGCGCCGGGCTGCTGCCCTCACACCTGCCCGAGGTGGTGGCCGGCCTCAGCTGCGCCTTCATCGTGCTGGTCTTCGTCACTGTCTTCCTGGTCCTGCAGCTGCGCTCCGGCTTCAGCTTCCGGGGGGTGAAGGTGTGCGCCATGGACCGCGGCCTTGTGTCCTACAAGGGGCTGCCCCCCGAGGCCTGGCAGGAGGAGTGCCCGTCGGACTCGGAGGAGGACGAGGGCCGGGGCGAGAGGACCGCCTTCGTCAAAGACCAGAGTGCGCTCTGACGCCTCGGCTGCCCCGGCATCCACCAAAGTATTTTTTCTATCTTGGGACTCTGGGTTTGCACCCCGGTAGGGAGGCAGGAGGGCTGTGACCGCGCCCCTCCACCCCGCCACCTACACCAGCCCTGGGGGGTCCCCCCATGCCTGAAGTGGGGGCCCCAGGGGCCTCCCGGCTCCTGCATCTCGTGTGTGGAGACGCACATGGGTGAGACGGAGTGCGGCTCTCCCAGCCCGCTCCCTGCATTCCCTGAGGAGTGAGGGGGGCGGCCCTTCTCTTCCAGACGCCCACCCGGCTGCAGCTCCCTCGCCCCTCCCGACCCCCTACAGCAATAATGGTCCCCTCCAGGCAGCAGGGGGGCTGGCCCCTCTCCAAGGGCTTTGGCACCCCGCCCTGCCCCCCTACCCCTCCCCACCCCACCCGCCTCCCTGGGGCGTCAGCGGTGAGCCAAGAAGGGACCAAGGCCAAGCACCGGTGCTCCGGGGCGTGCGTCTGTGTATGTGCACGCCCCTTCACCCACCTTCACAGCCGCCCACCGAGCAAGCGGGGCTGCAGGGGGTGGGGGGCACGGCCACACCCCGCCCCTGCCAGCCCGGGTCCCTGTTTTCTGAGCCCGGGGCTGCCTGGGCTGTTGGCACTCACAGTCCCAGAGCCCCTGGGTGGGAGGTGGGGAGGTGACACGGCCCAGCCAGCCTCTCGCCTCCCGCCCGATGCTGCTTTCCCCTGTGGGGATCTCAGGGGCCGTTTGAGGATATATTTTCACTTTGTGACGATTTCACTTTAGATGCTAATTTTTCTTGGGGGGGTGTGTGTGTGTTTCATTTTGTATTTTTTAAGGGGGGTAGCAGCGGGACCACCCACCTTCCCAAGCCCAGAGTCCATGCTGCTGTCCCCCCAGCTGCCCTGGCCGTGAGGTGTGTGTGTGGGGGGGTGGGGGGGCTGTAGCAAGTTGCTGAGGAGTGAGAGGAGTTGAACCCCACTTCTGGGAGGGGCAGGCAGGCCCCAGGAAAGGGGGGCGCTGGGAGGGGCAGGCTGTCGCCCACGCTTCAGCCGGGGCTTGTTGTGCCAAGGGCTTGTGGGCTCTCTAAGTGCCAGGGGTGGACAGGAGTGGCCCGAGCCCCCTCCAACACTGTGTCCTGGTAGAGAAAGCCCTGACCTATCGTCCTCCCAAGCCCCCCCTTCTGACGTGCCTTCTGCACCCCTCCCATGAGGACAATCAGGCCCCCCCATCTGTCCGGGAACCCCTATTCTTTCTCCTTCCCTTCCGGGTACCCAGCCACCTGCCCAGGGGTGCCCCTGCCCTCCCACCCCGCCCCGTGGCCAGCCCGGCAGGTTTTGTAAGATACTGGGTTGGTGCACAGTGATTTTTTTTTTCTTGTAATTTAAACAGGCCCAGCATTGTTGGTTCTATTTAATGGACATGAGATAATGTTAGAGGTTTTAAAGTGATTAAACGTGCAGACTATGCAAACCAGACCTGGGTGCCGTGTGCTGATACTGTTTGTCCTGGGGCTCTGGGGGTGGGCATGGGGGGGGGGCGGGGAGTGGACGGGGAGGCTGCTGCAGACTAGGGCACTGTGATGTCACCCTGGACAGGCCCAGAGCTGCCCAGCACAGGCTCGGGGCCAGCAGGGGCTGACATCAAACTCAGGCCCTCGCCATGGGCCTGAGACCCAGGAGGGCCTCACCGCAACCCTGGTGACTGGCCCGAGTGTCCGCTTGGGAGGGCCTCAGTCCCATGCCCTGGTTTCCCTGGGGCAGGAAGGGAGCAGAGCCTGAGACAGGCTTGAAAAGTGGCTGCTGCAGAGGCCAGTGGCTGAGCATTCCTGGGGCTCCCCTTGCCGCTGACCTGCCCCAGCCCCTGCCGCCCTTGGGCTCCCGGGAGCAGGGCAGGGCGTGGTGGCTCCTGCCATTCTTCCCCGCCCCTCCTCCTTTCCGTTTCCTCAGGGCTAGTCAGCAAAGGGGGGCTGGGGGGTCGGGCTGTGGGGGCCGCACTCCTGCCCGCCCCTTCCCCTCTGCGGCCCGCCCCAGGCCTGGCCAACTGAAACCACGGAGGAGGAAGCGCGGAAGCAGGAACTGGCTGGGGGTCGGCCCGGCCGGACTCCGTCTGCAGCGGCTCCAGGAACGGCAGCCAAGGGAGGTAACTCGTGCTGGGGACTGGCAGGCGGGGGGCAGCGCGGGCCTCGAGCCATTTTGGGTGGGACACGCAGCGGGGGCTCTTCTGGCCCAGCACACGCCCATCCCTGCCTCCCCCGAGTTCAGGGGGAAGCCTGGGAGAGGACGCTTCCACACAAGCCCCGGGCCTGGCTGGGAGGGAGATCCTTAGTGCCAGGGCTGGGCTGGACACCGGAAGCTGGAGAGTCAGGCGCAAGGCAGGCCACCGTTTGTCCCTCTGGCCAGACACCAGGGACCCATCACACCCAGGCCTCTGCCATCTGCAGATGTTGCCTCACAGCCTCTGCCTTGGCCCTTCTCTGTCCAGGGCGGTGCCATGGGCTTCTCCTCGGAGCTGTGCAGCCCCCAGGGCCACGGGGCCTTGCAGCAGATGCAGGAGGCTGAGCTGCGGCTGCTGGAGGGCATGCGGAAGTGGATGGCCCAGCGGGTCAAGAGCGACCGGGAGTACGCTGGGCTTCTGCACCACATGTCCCTGCAGGACGGCGGGGCGCAGAGCCGTGGCCTTGGCCCCGAGAGTCCCATCAGCCAGGTGGGCCACAGGGGGGACCCCCCACACCCCCGGGCCAGCCCAGAAATCCCAGTGGGCGGGCCTTTCCCTCCCAGGGCCCCAGAGGTGGGGTGTGGGTTGTGGAGGACTGGGCAGGCGCAAATGTTACGTGTCCCCCTCCTCCCCCGTCGCAGTCCTGGGCCGAGATCACCAGCCAGACGGAAGGCCTGAGCCGGCTCCTGAGGCAGCACGCGGAGGACCTGAACGCGGGGCCCCTGAGCAGACTGAGCTTGCTGATCCGGGAGCGGCAGCAGCTACGCAAGAGCTACAGTGAGCAGTGGCAGCAGCTGCAGCAGGACCTCACCAAGGTGGGAGCCCCGGGAGGGCCACTGGGGAAGTCAGAAGCCCTGACCACAGGCCCCGCTGCAGTTCCCTCCCTGCCCTGGGCAGGCACGACCCACTTCCCACACGCCCCAGCAGGCTTCCTCCAGACTCCCTTGACAGCCCAGACTATCCGCCTGCCTGGGTCTGTCGAGCTGGGGCCCCAGTCTCCTTTTTCAGGGAACTGCTCAGCGCCCCTGGACCAGCGGACTCCAGCGGCCCCTAGTGGCCAGCCCCGCTCTGTCCCCGAAGTGCTGCTGCCTCAGTCACTTCTGTATAAGATTTTCCTTGAACAAGGGAAAACCATGCGCTCTCCAGTTGCGGGAGGCCCCCTCAGCCCTCCAGCTGCGGAGATGAGTGATGTCCTCAAGAGGTCCGTGACCTATAGGGCTGACATGCTCATCACCTGGATGATCCCATCTGTGTTGTTTCCAGACGGAGAAACTGAGGCTCAGAGGAGTGTCAGGGGGATGTGTGGCTTGCCACGAGGATGCCAGGGCATAAACATCTGGAATGAGAACTCTGGTTGAGACCCTTTTGTTTTGCTTCTTTTTATTTATTTATTTATTGGTTTTGGTTTTTCTGTTCTGTGCTCAGGAATCTTCCCTGGCAGGGCCTGGGGGACCACACGGGGTGCTGGGAATTGAACCTGGGTTGGCCACATGCAAGGCAAGCACGCTAAGCCCTATGCTCTTTCTCCAGCCCCTCAACCCTCTGTTCCACCAGCAGGAAGCAGAATATGCAGGACTTCATAAAAATGGAAGATGTGGGAGTCCTGGTTAAAAAAAAATGATGGATTTGGGGGCTGGAGTGATGGCACAGTGGGTTGGACACTTGTCTTGCATGCAGCCAACCCAGGTTTGATCCCGGTATTCCCTTTGGTGCCCTGAGCACTGCCAGGACAGAGTCCTGAGGATCACTGGGCATAGCCCCAAGACAAAAAAGTTAAATTTAAATGATGGATTTTCTTTTTTCCCTACAAGAGCCATACCCCGAGCACAGGGTCCTCAAGGTATGGCACCTGGAGGCTGGGCCCTCTCCTTCAGGGGCCAGTCCTCCCTGCAGCCACTTCCACAGTTAACGCTGCCTCACTGGACCCCCCCTTCAGACCCACAATCAGGACATCGAGAAGCTCAAGAGCCAGTACCGGTCACTGGCACGGGACAGTGCCCAGGCCCGGCGCAAGTACCAGGAGGCCAGCAAAGGTGCGTGGACTCCCTCAGGGCCGGGAGGACACGGGTTGCAGGGACCCTAGGCTTGGGGGTCGGCGGGTTCACAGTGCCGTCCCCAGACCTCCGTTCTCCCCGCCCTGGGCAGACAAGGACCGCGACAGGGCCAAGGACAAGTACGTGCGCAGCCTCTGGAAGCTCCTGGCGCACCACAACCGCTACGTGCTGAGCGTGCGGGCCGCACAGCGGCACCACCACCACCACCACCAGCTCCTGCTCCCTGGCCTGCTCCAGTCGCTGCAGGACCTGCACCAGGAGATGGCCCGCATCCTGTGAGCCCCACCCTGACAGCTCATTCCCGTGGCTGATGCCCCCCGCTCCCCCAGGCTCTGGGCCTAGGCAGAAAGCAGGGCCCAGAGGCGCGGGGTGGGTGCTTGTCTTGCACATGGTTGACCCAGGTTGGATCCCCGGTGTCCGATACGGTTCTCTGAGCCCTGACAGGAAGGATCCCTGAGTGCAGAGCCAGGAGTGACCCCTGAGCATTGTCAGGTGTGGTCCAAAATCTAAATAAATGGGAAACAATTGCTGTCTAGGACTGTCTCCGAAGGGAGAGCGTACGAGCCGCCTGGAGAGCTGGATCCATGCTGTAGCCAGAAATGGGGGTTCTAGGGAGGGCTTGGGGTGGGGAAGAGGCCCAGGCCGCTGAGGGACCTGGGAGGGTGGGCCACAGGTCTGCAGTGGAGAGTGGCTGGAATGGGTGTGGGCAGTGGGAGGCCAGGGCAGAGACGGCCAGGCAGGCACTGTGTTGAGGACTCCGGGTGCAAAGACCAGTGGGCACACGGCGTGTGAGAAGGAGCCACAGGTCTGTGAGTCGGAGGGTGGAGTTCATCGGAGAGATGGCAGGGCACGTGTGGCTAGGCCGGTATGGGGTTGCTTTCACAAGTGGAGTGGTCGGGGCTGCGGGGACAGTCGAGCAGGGACTGTCCTGTAGTCTGGAGCCTGCCACAGGTGGGTGTCTTCTGCCTTTTGGGCTGCTGTGCTGGGCTGACTGCCCCGAGCAGGGCCCCTGACTCTCCCTGGCTCCCAGCCACGACTCCCAGCCTCTGCGTTTCAGTTATCGGGAGGCCACACCAGGTTAAATAGTAGCCGTGGGCCTTTGAGATAGGGGTCAGTCCTAAAGCTGAGTCCCCAGCACTGTGGGCACTGCACTGCTTGGCCTTGACAGGGGGTCTTGCCCGGCCCAGGAAGGACATCCTGCAGGAGTATCTGGAGATCAGCAGCCTGGTGCAGGACGAGATGGTGGCTGTCCACCAGGAGATGGCCGCTGCTGCCGCCCGCATCCAGCCTGAGGCCGAGTACCAAGGCTTCCTGCGCCAGTATGGGTAAGGCCCGGGCTGCTCCCGCCCCTCAGTTGCGGGCCTGGAGACTGACAGGGTCTGTCCCCGGCATAGGTCCGCCCCTGATGTCCCGCCCTGTGTCACCTTTGACGAGTCGCTGCTGGACGAGGGGGAGCCCCTGGAGCCTGGGGAGCTGCAGCTGAACGAGCTGACAGTGGAGAGCGTACAGCACATGTGAGGGGCAGGCTGGCGGGCAGGGGCGGGGGGGTGCGGTCTGTGCCCTCGGCCAGGGCCCAGGGCTAGACTAGTTCTGCTGGGACGCTCCGGTACAGGCTGACCTCAGTGACGGAGGAGCTGGCCGCGGCTGCCGAGACAGTGTTCACCAGGCAGGCGACGGTGGCACAGCTGCAGCAGGAGCTCTGGGATGAAGAGCAGAGCACGCCCCCGCGGGAGCGGTGAGTGTGGGTCACCTTGGGACCCCAGGGCCCGGGCATTCCCCCAGCCCTGGGCTGAGCCCTACCGCCTCCCCCCCCTGCAGGGTGCAGCTTCTGGGCAAGAGGCAGGCGCTGCAGGAGGCGCTGCAGGCACTGCAGGTGGCGCTGTGTGGCCAGGCCAAGCTGCAGGCCCAGCAGGAGCTGCTGCAGGCCAAGGTCGAGCAGCTGGGCCCTGGCGAGCCCCCGCCCGTGCCCCTGCTGCAGGAGGACCGCCACTCAACCTCGTCCTCGGTGAGGGAGCGAGCGCGGCCCGTGTGCGTGCCCCGGCCTGCCCAGCACCTGCCGTCCGTGCCCTGCCTGCCGGCTGCCGCGGTCCACGCTCCCACCCTGCTGGTGCCTGCGTGCCCGTCCCACCCTTGTTCACCACCTGTGTGCGCATCCTCGCCCCCCCACCCTAGCATTGCCCCTGCCCGCCACCTGCCCGTCTGTGGCCCCTGCCTGCCGCCTGCTGTCCGTGCCCGTGCCCTGCCCGCCTGCCGGCCCGGTGTGCTCCTCATTTTCGCCCTCCCCCTCCCCAAGCCTGGCCACCCGCTGACGTCTGTCCCTGGCCTCAGGAGCCTGAGCGGGAAGGGGGAAGGACGCCCACCCTGGAGCTCCTGAAGAGCCACATTTCTGGAATCTTCCGCCCCAAGTTCTCGGTGAGTGGGGCCTGGCCGGGCCGGCACCTCTGCCTGGCTCCAGGAGCTGGTCCAGGCTTGGAGCTCCCCTCCCCTTAACTCCTCTGCTTTGGATTTAAACTGGGAGAGTCCAGGCTGCTTTGGTGGGGGGGTACCTCCACTATGGCGGGTGTCCCCAGCTCCTTCCACCCTGCGCCCCTCTCTTCCCACCGCCTCGTGCCGAAGGGATCTACAGCCTGGGTTATAGCTCCTGTCCCCCTGGGGGTGGCGGAACCCAAAGCCCAGGTCTCTCGTCCCAGCGTCTGGGGGGGCTGATGGGCGAATCTACCGTTAGCCAGGGGCCCCTGACACGCCACTTGGCCATCAGTATGCATGGGGGAGCGGGAGAGAGACCCCCAAATGGCTCCAGCTGGCTGAGTGACCCCTTCTCGCCCCTTCTCTGCCCAGCTCCCCCCGCCCTTGCAGCTGGTCCCCGAGGTCCAGAAGCCCCTGTATGAGCAGCTGTGGTACCACGGCGCCATCCCCCGGGCCGAGGTGGCCGAGCTGCTGACGCACTCGGGGGACTTCCTGGTGCGGGAGAGCCAGGGCAAGCAGGAGGCTGTGCTGTCCGTGCTGTGGGACGGACAGCTGCGCCACTTCATCATCCAGTCGGCCGACGTGAGTGGGGGCCGGGCTGGGCTGGGGGGCGGCGACTCCCTCCCCCCACAGGCCACCCCTCAGCCGCCACCTGCACCCCCGCCCCCAGAACCTGTACCGACTGGAAGGGGATGGTTTCCCCAGCATCCCACTGCTGGTCGACCACCTGCTGCGCTCCCAGCAGCCCCTCACCAAGAAGAGCGGCGTCCTCCTGCACAGGGCTGTGCCCAAGGTTAGTGCCCCACACCGAATCCCCTCCTTCCTTCATCATTGTTTTGTCCCTCTGGGAAGTGCTCCCAGCACAGTGCTCACCAGTTGCTCCTGGCAGTGCTCGGGGACCAAGCCCAGGCTTCTGGCATGCAGGGTCCACACTCCAGCCCTTTGAGCTGTCTCCCGGATCCCCATCCATTAGACTCACAAACGCAGGGCCCAGACCTGGAGTCGGGGGGAGATTCCGTCATCCCCAGGGCCCAGCACACCTTCTGGGGTGCTTCTGACCCCTGCCCGACCTCTGCAGGACAAGTGGGTGCTGAACCACGAGGACCTGGTGTTGGGGGAGCAGATTGGGCGGGTGAGTACCCCCCAGCCGGCTTTCTCACAGCCGCTGGGCCCTCAGCAGCCCTCACATCACAGCATTCTCTGCCTGACCCATCCAAGCATGCTCAGGGACCACGGGGCATGTGTGGGGAAGCTGCCCCGGTTGCTTGTACCCTGGAGTGGCTCTCAGGGGCTCAGGGTAGCAGTCACTCCCCCAAACCCAGAGAGCTCCCCAAACCCAGTGAACTTTGTCCTGTGCCACCTCTCTGTTCCCCACGAGAGTCCAGAGATCCAGGATGAGCGGCGGAGGCAGTGTGGGGGCAGTGAGGGAGGGCCGGTGCCCCCAGGGGAGCTGGGTCGGAGCCCCTGACCTTTCCAGGGGAACTTCGGAGAGGTGTTCAGTGGGCGTCTCCGGGCTGACAACACCCCTGTGGCTGTCAAGTCCTGCCGAGAGACTCTCCCTGCCGAGCTGAAGGCCAAGTTCCTACAGGAAGCCAGGTGGGTGCGAGAGCAGGGCAGGAGCTGCAGGCCGGGAGGGCGCCCTCCTTCCTTCCACATGCCCCCCCCCCCCCCCGGGAGGTGACCTGCAAGGTGCCCTTGCCCCCAGGATCCTGAAGCAGTACAGTCACCCCAACATCGTGCGTCTCATTGGCGTCTGCACCCAGAAACAGCCTATCTACATCGTCATGGAGTTAGTACAGGGTGAGTGCAAAGAGGTGCGGGGTGTGGGGGTCCTCCGCCCACCCCTCCCCAGAGTGCTCATGGGGTGGTAGTTTCCCCGGCTTTATTTATTTCTGTCTTTTGGGACCATACCTGGTGATGATCAGGGGTTACTCCTGGCTCTGCACTTAGGAGCCACTCTTGGCGGTGCTCGGGGGACCATATGGGGTGCCGGGGATCGAACCGCATTGGCTGCATGCAAGGCAAAAGCTCTTCCTGCCGTCCTGTCACCGGCCCCTTCTTCCGGTTTTAGGGGGCGACTTCCTGACCTTCCTGCGCACGGAGGGAGCGCGCCTGCGCATGAAGACGCTGCTGCAGCTGGTGGGGGATGCGGCGGCGGGCATGGAGTACCTGGAGAGCAAGTGCTGCATCCACAGGCGAGCGCCGGGGCAGGGGTGGCTGGCGGGGGGCAGGGACACGCCAGCTCATCCGCCCGCCGCCCGCCCCCGCAGGGACCTGGCTGCCCGCAACTGCCTGGTGACCGAGAAGAACGTGCTGAAGATCAGTGACTTTGGCATGTCCCGGGAGGAGGCCGATGGCGTCTATGCAGCTTCCGGGGGGCTCAGACAGGTGCCCGTGAAGTGGACGGCACCCGAGGCCCTAAACTACGGTATCTGGGCACGTCCTTTCTGGCTGCCATCTGAGGGTATCTGGCCAATGCCCCCCCCACGTAACACTCATAAGGCCCCACCCACGTCCCCTCAGGCCGCTACTCCTCAGAGAGTGATGTGTGGAGCTTTGGGATCCTGCTCTGGGAGACCTTCAGCCTCGGGGCCTCCCCGTACCCCAGCCTCAGCAACCAGCAGACTCGGGAGTTCGTAGAGAAGGGTAAGACTGACCGCGGGTGCAGCCGCCCCTCGGGCTGGGGCTGGATCCCTCCCTGGGGGCGCTGAGGCAGAGTGCGCCCTGCTCCGGCCCAGGCCTGGGCCATGATTCCAACATGAGACGGAGGGTCTGTCAGCCCCTGCGACAGGCGCCCCAACTGAGCGCCATCAGGGACGGAGGTCTCAGCCTCCGGCCTCCCTCCTCCTCACCCGTGTGCCCACAGGAGGCCGGCTGCCCTGCCCCGAGCTGTGCCCGGACGCCGTGTTCCGGCTCATGGAACAGTGCTGGGCCTACGAGCCCCGGCAGCGACCCAGCTTTAGTGCCATCTCCCAGGAGCTGCAGAGCATCCGGAAGCGGCATCGCTGAGCAGGACTCCGGCCACGGGGGTGCAGGGGTGCAGCTTGGGTCAGCTCCTGTCCTGGGGGCACGGGGGGCTCGCACGTGGAAGTAATAAAACCACTCATGCCACAGGTGCCATGGCCACGTGCGCTGCTCTGGAGGGCCAGGCAGAGACCAGGTCGGGGTCCTGAGGTCTGGAACGAGGGCGCGGGGCGGGGAGCCTAGTGCTGTTGCATTGGGAGGTCTGGCATCCCATGAGGAAACCACTCAGTGCACACCAGCACCACATGCGCCCATGAGGAGACCGAGGAGAGAGGAGACCGTCTCTCAAGATGAGTTTGCTCACAATGGGGCTGCTAAATGAACCCCCTGAAATCTCAGGGAAGCTGTCCCGGCAGCCACGGTGCAAGCAGAAGGTGGCAGGAAACTGGGTGGAACTGGTGGCAGTGGAGACAGCGTGGTAGAAGGCAGAGGACGGGCAGCTGGCCCTGCAACGGGTTTTTGTGGCTTTTTTTTTTTTGGCTTTTTGGGTCATACCGGTGATGCACAGGGGTTACTCCTGGCTCATGCACTCAGGAATTACTCCTGGTGGTGCTCAGGGGATCATATGAGATGCTGGGAATCGAACCCAGGTCGATGTGCAAGGCGAACGCCCTACCCTCTGTGCTATTGCTCCAGCCCCCACAGCTGGTTTAACGGGGGGGTGCTGGGCTGGGGAGGAGGGGGGCCCAGCAGTCAAGCACTTGCCTGCAGGTGTGAGGCCCTGGGTTCCATCCCCAGCACCGTGAACGACAAACAAGGCTGACTTCAGTGGGAACGCTGAGGTGCTGAGGTGCTGAGGTACATGGCCCCTGGAAGCGCTCAAAGCAGGGCTGAGGAACTTCTGCTTCTGGGCAGACTGGTGTCCCTCAGGTTACCTCATAGCTACGAGGAGGAAGCATAAGAGGCAAACATGTTTCTGTTTTGTTTTTATTTTACTGGGTTAGGGAGCAACACCCAGCATAGCTCAGGGGTCACTCCTGGTGCTGCAGTGCCGGGAATCAAACCCAGGTTGGGCCACATGTAAGGCCACGCCTTAACCCCGTACCCTGTACTGTCTCTCTGCTCACTCGGACCCTCCCCCCATACTGGGTGGGGCTGGAGACTGAATCCAGAACTTCATGCAAGGCAAATACTTTGCCACTAAACTACATGCCCGGCCTTAAAAGCATGGTGTGTTTTTTTTTCTTTGCTTTTTGGGTCACACCCAGCAATGAACAGGGGTTATTCCTGGCTCTGCTCTCAGGAATTACTCCTGGCTGTGCTCAGGGGACCATATGGGATGCTGGGAATCAAATTCACATCGGCCACATGCAAGGCAAATACCCAAACATGGTGTTTTTTGTTTGCTTGGTTTTTTTTTTATAAAGTAGTTCACAATATTTTATTACATTCAATATTCAAACACCAATCCCACCACCATTACACCTTCCCACCACTATATTGTGGGTGTTTCCATCACGACCCCCCCCCCCCAATCCCTGCCCCAAAGCAGAACTAAAATAATATATTTCCCTCTAAGGTAGGTTGTCTCCTACTTTGAATCCCATAGAATGTGGTGCGGTATTCTTGGAGTATAGGTAGGGTGTGTCCTATGAAGTGTCTCATGGCTTCTGAGGCCGAGCGGTCCAGGAAAAAATTCACTTGTGGGTGAGGCTTGGCCCGAGTGTGTGGAGAGCGGCCGTGGGCATGGCGGTGGTTGAGTTCTGGAGGTTTTCCACTGCTGGGGCTGGGTCCCTTGGGGTGGGGAGGGCTCTCACCCCCCCTCGGCAGCACCCCGAATGAAACAGCCTGGCATGGGGTCCGGTGGCATGGTTATGGCAAGCGTCATGTTATGCTCCCTTCTGGAAGAGAAGGACGTGCGTTCTAAAAACATGGTTTTTAAAGTTGAAGGGATGAGGGCGGCTGGGGCCAGAGAAACAGTGGGGCCCACTTTCATTCCCAGTACCACTAAGCACTGCCAGGTGTGACCCCAGACTATCACCAACAGAACACAATGAGCAGGTGAAGTCAAGTTCCTGGGAGAAAGAACGAGCCCCTCCAAGGAGTCCCGAGACGGGCGTTGATGGTAGTTTGCTTTCCAGAGGAAAGCCGGTCTGAAGGAGGTGTCCCAGAGTCTGACCTGTCTCAGAGTGGGACTACCAGCAGGGAAAGGAAGTGAGAAGTTGCTGGAGCTTGGTGGGTCTGGAACAGAGATACAGTTCACACTCTTCAGAAGACAGACTCAGACTGCTGGGACTCTGCCTGGGTTAAACACACAGAAAGTGCCTGCAGAGGCCCCTGCAAGACACTTTTACTCAAAACCCTTGCTGACTTGTGGAGCCTTCTGGTAGGAAAGGGCTGGGCTGGAAGAGCAAGTCCAGAGGGAGTGAGGCCTGCAAGCCCTGAGCTTAGCCCTCTGAGTCACATCCGGCCTGATTTCCTCTGAAGTGGATTCCAACCCCGTTGCAATTCTGTTTGCTTTTATCTTGTCTATCTTTTTCTCCATGCAACACAGCAACCATCACTCGTTGGACTTTTCTGTTTGGAGGCCACACCCAGCGATGCTCAGGGCTTACTCCTAGTGGAGCTTGGGGGATCCGAGGGATGCTGGGGGATCAAATCTGGGTAGGCTGCATGCAAAGCAAGAGCCCTACCCACTGTACTATCATCACTCCAGCCTACCATCACTTTTTTTTTCTTTTTGGTTATGGGCCATACCAGCAGTGCTCAGGGTTTATTCTTGGGTGTCTACTCCCGAATCACACCTGGCTGGCAAGTTTGGGATGCTGGGAATAAAACCTGGGTCTTATTCTGGGTCAAGGTACTATCACTCTGCCCCCCACCCCACCCCACCAATGGTTATTTTAAAATCCATCCTGCCAACCCCAATATCTTAATTATCTGCGGATCTATGTCTGTTACTTATCCCTTGGGCATCAGCCCCAGGTAAAAGTGGAAAGACCATCTCTGAGATGATAATCTCGTCATGTGAACTTCATAGAAACTCATCAAACTAAAGAAGAAGAAAGTTCCCAGCAGAGACTAGACACACCAGAAGACAGGACTAGTGAACCTGAAGATAGAGTAATGCAAGAATTTAAGTGAGGTACAGAGAGGAAAAAAACACAAGGAATGGGAAGAAAAGCCCCCGCAAAATGTGGAACTCCAGTTTATAAGTCATTAAAATTACAGGGGGGCAAGTTGGGGCAGAATAAACTGCAAATGACCCAGATTCTGTACAGCAATTAACAAAATGAAAACTTGGGCAAGAGAGAGGGAGTAGAGCAGCTACAGAGCTTTCCTTGCATCCCACCAACCCCAGTTTGTTCCCTTGTGCAATTCCCAGCATCCCATATGGTCCCCTGAGCACTGCCAGGAGTGACTCCTGAGTGCATGAGCCAGGAGGAACCCCTGTGCATCGCCAGGTGTGACCCAAAAAGCAAAAAAAAAAAGTCAGATGTGAGGTGGGAGTGATAAAACAGTGGGTGTCACACAGGCTGTTTGGGGCAACCTGGATGCGGAAGGGTGAGTTCCCCTTGCTGCCCTCCCTGCCCCAACGGAGCCAGCCCCGGCAGCCAGAAACCTCCAGAACGCAACTGCTGTCGTGCTCATGGCCGATCTCCACACACGCAGACGCGCCTCGCCCATGAGTGAATCTGTTCCTGGACGGCACAGTGGCCGCGAATGCCTCCCTGCAGCATCTCATACTTCACGCCACCGATGTCCTAAGAGTAGCACACCACGTGATGGGGTTTAAAGCAGAAGTAACCAATCTTGGGGGAAACATATTTACACAGATATAGAATAAGTACACAAGACTCAACCTTTAACAACATGTTACTAATCTCTTACAGAAGGGCTTAATGGCTCCTGGGCGAAACATGACAATCTTCACTCACCTCTAAGAAAACTTTTTTGGATCATTTCTAGTGGATTGTTCATAACAAGCAATATAAAATAAATTCAGTTCGCTCTGGGGGCAGGGTTTGGGGTTCGGGATGAAAATACTCAAAATATGGTGGTGGGAAGGTGTGATAGTGGTGGGATTGGTATTTGAATATTAAATGTGATCAATTATTATAAAAGGTAAAGGTAAAGGCCCTCCCGTTGATCGTCGATTTGCTCGAGCGGGCCCAGTAACGTCTCCATTGGAGACTTTGTTGTTACTGTGTCTGGCATATTGAATACTCTCGGTAGCTTGCCGGGCTCTCCGAGAGGGGCGGAGGAATCGAACTCGGGTCGGCCATGTTGGCCGCTTGTAAGGCGAACGCCCTACCCCCTACCGATCAATTATTATGAACAAATTTATAAAGATAAAAATAAAACTGGGTGGGGTGCTTCCTTACATGCCACTCACCTGGATTCCATCCCTACATGTGATCCCCAGAGCCCCACCAGGAGTGATACCTGAGCACAGAGCTAGGAGTAAGCCCTGTAACTGCAGGTGTGGCCTCAAAACAGAACAAAAGGCTCTGTACTATATACTGCAAGTTTGCTAACTGATAACATACACACGCACACTCAGAGAACAGTCCTGAAAATCAAGATTATGATTCCCAATCTGAAAAATTCAGAAGGAAGGGACACTAAGTCACCCAGGACACAAAGGAAGGAAAGATCCTGTCTAGGTCTAATACCTCGGTGACTGCTGATAGTCTTTCCAGCCAGCAAGTAAATCCAGACAAGTGATTTGGTGGCGATGCCAGAGATGGGAATGGAAACAATGAGTCAGCATTTTACATCTGTTTAATCAAACCTCAATCTGTTTAAACAATTTTCAACAGTTGGGCAGAGACAAGAGCCTTTCAGACCTTGTTCCTTTTGCTGTCAGCAGTTAGACAGGGAAGGGCCCCTATGGCAATGGAATTCGTAGGAAGTAATAAAACCAACAGGATCAAAGCTGCAAACACAGGAACCAAGGCCTGGTAAGACCATCACCTGGCCAGCAACAGACCCAGAGAAAGCTGGACCCTCTTCCGGGAGAAGTTCCAACAGGAACAAAAGGCGAGGAATGGAATTTCAAAGAAGGTCATTGACCACTTCCAACTCTACCCTCTTGGCAACCTCCCTAACAACTGACTTACCACCTAGTCCGAAGCTCCACATAGGGGCAGGTTGGGAAAACCTATAAAGGCCTCCTTGAACAAAGGAAGGGCGCACATATGCTGCCAAGCCCATGAGCAGCTTGTGCCCACATGGCCGAGCATATACGGCGCCGGAGCACATGTGTCACCCTCATCTCCCCTCCTGAGATGTGCATTTTCCTATCTAACGCTGGGATGCATGTAGGGGCTCTCTCCCCCTTTGGAGAAGCCCGAGTTCTTTCTTAGCGCGTTCCTCTCTCACTTTCTCTCCCTCCTTCCCCTTCCGAAAAACCTCCAAATAAAATCTGTTTTTACTTTACTGCTACTCCCGAAATTTTTTTCTGCGAGGCAAGACAAGAACCCTGAAACCTTGGGAAAGGCCTACAACTGACTTTCCTTCGCTGCAAAGAGCAATGCCTGGCTCCAACCTGAGTCCATGACTGCCCGAGAGCAACTCCCATATCTAGCTGACCAAGTGGACGTCAGGTGTGACTTGACAGCTAGCTGGGGCAGCTGGCGGGACTCTAAGCTATGGTGCATAGGGGCTCATCACAGACCTAGTCTATCAGTCCTAGTCCTCCAAGTCGGGTCCCGGGTGACAGAGGGTGATTGGTAGAAAATGACTCTCTTTCCTCCTCTCTTCACAGAAGCCACCTACGGGACCACTGACTTCACTTCCTTTTTGTCCCCCTTGCTTTGGGGGCTAAGTACCCAGTGGGCTTACTGAGTTTAGGGCTTATTTAGGGTTTACTCCAGACTAGGTGCTCAGAGATCACTCCAGGCCGTGTTTGGGGACTGGAACCAGAGTCAGCTGCGAGCAAGGCCAATGCCTCAATTTCTGTACTATCCCCCCAGCCCCTCACTCCTTCCTTTTGAACCGGTAACAAGGGACCAGCAAAGAGGCGCTGGCGTCCCGGAAAACATGCAGCAACGCAAGTGCCCCAAGTCAAGTGCCTTGACAAATGTAGACTTCACGCGGATATTCTCTGTGGAGACGAGCGTTACGACGAAAGATTATAACCCATCTAGGTCCAGCCCCTGCAAAAGACGATCTTCCTTGCTGGGTGACAAGCGGAGTCAGTGAACGTCCGCAACCCGCGCCCCTTTTCCAGGGTGGCATCAGTTGGCGCGCAGCAAACGTGCCCATCTGTGGCTGGTGGGCAGGAGGCAGGGTCTCTACTCGGCTGCCACCGCGCTCGCCGCCTCTGGCTACTGCCAGAAAAGAGCGTCGGCGGCCCAGGGCGACAGTGCGCGCGTGCGTGCGGCGCCGTCCGCAGCGCGGAACACGCGGCGCAGAGGCCAGGCCGGCCGCGGCTGCGCACTGTGGGGCCGGCGCGGGGGTCCAGTCCCGCCGAGCCGGGCCTGGTGGAGGGGCTGGGCTTTGGGAGGCGTGGCCTCGTTGCGGACCCCGCCCCGGCGGTGGGCGGGGCTTGCTAGGGATTGCGGTCTGACGGCGGGGCCCGGGGCGGGGGGGGCGGGTCTGACGAGTGGGTGGCGTGGGTGTGGCCTATAGGTGGGTGGAGTCTGCGAGGGCGGGGCGCATGGGGCGGGGCCTCCGGGTGGGCGGGACCTGGACGAGGCGGGTGGGCGGGGCTGTTGGTGGGCGGGGCCTGTCGGTGGGTCGGGCGCGCGGGGCGGGGCCTGGCGGCGGGGTGGGCACAGCGCTGGCCCCGCCCCCGCGCTGCCCGGCCGCCGCACGACGCCGCGCGCGGGGGGCGGCGCGACTGGCCGCTGTGGCCCCCGGAGGGCGCGACGGCCGTGACGCGCCGAGGAGCGGGGGCGACCGGGAGCCGGACTCGCCGCTCCGCCTGCGTCGCTGCCTGTGCGCTGGCTGCAGCCCCCAAGGATGTGAGGGCCCCGAGCGGCGCGGAGCCGGGGCACGGACTAGGTAAGGCGTGGGCAGGGCCCGGCAGGGCCGCAGACCCGGACCCGGGCTCCGAGCGGCACGTCCGCCCGGGAGGCCGCGGCAGGTGCCCGCCCGCCCGCCCGCCCGCCCGGGAGCCCCTGGCCTGCGCCCCAGATGCGAAGGGGGCGCCGCGGGCCCCGAGCGCGACCCCGCTCGCGAGCAGCAGGACCAGCTGGGTTGCGCCCGAGGGCGGGGTGTCCCCTTGGGGCGAAGTTACCTCTGCGGGCAGCCCCACTGCTGGGGGCAGACTTGGGGAGTGCCAGGGCGGCAGGAAGGTGCTGGACTAGTCCAGGCTCTGCCTCCCGGGGACAGGCCCCCGCCCCCGCCCGCTCGCGTCTCCGTGGGCACCGCCGTGCCCTTTGATGGACACAGACAGTTGATTCATCTGGAAGCAGATGCGCGCACGTGGCCCGTCTCCGGTGGCTCTCACCCCTGTAGGGCGGCACGGCCAGCGTCTGGGCACTGGTCCGGCGAGTCCAAACCCCAGAGAGGGGAAGTTTGCTAGTAGGTGATGGTGGGCTCTGTGTGTGTTTGTGCGCGCGTGTTGATTTCTTTTGTCCTCCTGCCCTCTCTGTTGTTGGCAAGTCAGACCAGCAGTTCCATTTGTTTATGGTGCCAGGGATCCACACGAGATTCACAGACTCTAGGCTCACGGTTCTCACGGGCAGTTGTGAGCATGGCCAAGATTCTCCTCGGTGCAGGTTTCTCATCTTTGGTGGAGGTGCGGAGGCCCAGGCTGGCTGCCAGACTCTCACTGGTGCTCACCACGCCTCGTGTGCTTTTCTTTTTCTCTTTTTGAGCCACACCCCGCAGTGCTCAGGGCTCACTCTACTCTCAGGGATCACTCCTGGTGGTGCTCAGGGGACCATAAGGAACATTAGGATCCAACCCAGCTCAGATGCATGCAAGGCAAATCCCTTTCCCGTTGTCCTATGACTCTAGCCCCGTGCCTGTATGTTTTATAGTGCTGGCAGGGTCCATGCCCCTTCCTTATGGTGCCTGCACACTCCTGGCCCCAATGTACCTGGAGGGTGCATGTGGCTTCAGGGACCATGGATGTCAGTGCATCAAGACTCCCCCTGTGTTGGCAGTGTGGGTCAATGTGGGTCAGGGTACTTGGACCCTGTCTGCTGCTCCCAGCCTTGATCCAGGTTGGGACCAACAGCCAGAGGGGAGATGTGGTGCTTAGGAGCTTGTTGTGTGTGTGTGTGTGTGTGTGTGTGTGTGTGTGTGTGTGTGTGGTTCTGGGGATGGAACCCAGGACTCTTGCATGCAAGACTGGCACCTTCCCACACAGCCACATTCCCAGGCTGGTTTGTTTCTCAGGAGTGGCTGGGGCATTGCAGACCTTGCAGTTTGCTGCTCTGGTCTGGTGGCACCAGGACTTTGCCCAGCACTGTTGAGGCTCCCTGGGCTACCTGGACATGCTGGGGATCATGCAGCGTCAGGGATCAAACTCGGGACCAAGTGCATGCTAGACTGCACCACAGGGTTATATATTTTTGTTGTTCTTTTTTTGTTTTTGAGCCACACCCAGCTGGTGCTCAGAACTTACTCTGGCTCTGCACTCACTTATGACTGGTGGGGATCAGGATAACCTATGGGGTTTCGGGGATCCAACCTGGGTCAGCCGCGTGCAAGGCAAGTGCCCAACCTGCTGAACTATCTCTCTGGCCCCTGGAGTTTATATATATATATATACATATATATATATATTCATTCTTTGTTTCATTTTGTTTGTTTTGGGGCCATACCTGGCAATATTCAGGGATTACTCCTGGCTCTCTGTTCAGGGTTCACTTTTGGAGGGCTCGGGGAATTGAACCCAGGTTGGCCACATGCAAGGCAAGCGACGGTCCTGCTGTACTATCATTCTGGCCCTTATATATATTTTTTTTATTTTGCTTTTTGGGTCACACTTGGCGATGCACAGGGGTTACTCCTGGCTCTGCACTCAGGAGTTACTCCTGGCGGTGCTCAGGGGACCATATGGGATGCTGGGAATTGAGCCTGGGTCGGCCACATGCAAGGCAAACACCCTACCTGTGATATCTCTCCAGCCCACTAGCCCTTATATTTTTATAATAATATGATAACATAATAAGTTCTTACCCCAGAAGCTTGTGTGTGTGTGTGTGGACGCGTGCGTGTGTGTGTGCATGTTCGGGCCACACTGATTGGTACTTGGGCTACTCAGGGCTCCATGGTTGGAGGCTCATTCCTTGCCGTCCTCCAGGGACCACAAGGTGCCAGGGTAAAGCCCAGGCCTCTGCATGCAAGGTGCTGCAGCCCTTGTAGTCACAGAGCATGGCAAATAGGTGCTCTTCGAGCAACCTGAAGGCACCTCTGGGCATTTGGCGGGAGACCAGAGGAATTTTCTTGTCATCCTCCTGCCAGGTGTGGGCCGCCACTATGAAGCTGAAGAAGCAGGTGACTGTGTGCGGGGCTGCGATCTTCTGTGTGGCCGTCTTCTCGCTCTACCTCATGCTGGACAGAGTGCAGCATGACCCCGCCCGGCACCAGAACGGAGGCAACTTCCCCCGGGTGAGTCAGGCCTGGTGCTGCTCCGTAAGCACACAGGCGCGCGCGCACACACACACACACACACACACACACACACACACTCACTGTCATACTAATTAGGCTAGGGACACACACATACACAAGCTCATTAGGCTGTGCCCATACTTCACTTGGCTGCGTTTGTTCAGCCTCGGGCAGTACTGTTCCTTCCCACTGGACAGTTTCTAGAAACCTTGAAGCTAAAAGCCAAAAAGGAAATGAGAGTAAGAGCGGGATTCCAGGAAGGCGTTGCTCATCCCTGGCAGCGTTTATGGGCACCCGCAGGGCGCACCACCTGGGTGGGTTTCTGCCTTCACACTTGCGACTTCTCTGGACCTGGGCGCACTGTAGCCCAGGGGGTCTGTGCCTCTCCTGTCACGGGTTCCATTGGCCTGTGCGGGGGCCGCCAGGCACCGCGACTGACTGCCTCTGCTCTCGGGGCAGAGCCAGATTTCTGTGCTGCAGAGCCGCATCGAGCAGCTGGAGCAGCTGCTGGAGGAGAACCACGAGATCATCAGCCACATCAAGGACTCGGTGCTGGAGCTGACTGCCCACGCCGATGGCTCGCCGGCGCTGCAGCCCTACCCCATGGCCAACGGCTCCTGGCTGGTGCCGCCTGAGCCACAGCCCAGCTTCCTCTCCATCTCCCCTCGAGATTGCCAGTTTGCTCTAGGTGGCCAGGGTCAGAAGCCAGACCTGCAGGTAAGAGCCTGGCACCCTTCTCCCCTCTCGCCTCACCCCTCGTGCCTTGGCTGGAGCCCTGAGTCCGTGCCCTGCCTGGCAGATGCTGACGGTGTCGGAGGAGCTGCCCTTCGACAACCTGGACGGGGGCGTGTGGAAGCAGGGCTTCGACATTTCCTATAGCCCCCACGACTGGGATGCTGAAGACCTTCAGGTTTTTGTGGTTCCCCACTCACACAATGACCCAGGTGAGCCTGTGCGGCCTCTGCCCTGCTGGGCTGGGCTTTCTTCTTGGGGATGAGCCGCTCCTGGCTCTGCTTAGGGTCACTCCTGGCGGTGCTCAGTGGCAGCAGGGGTTGGGCCCAGGCAGCCACCCGCATGCAGCTGTCTCTCAGTGGGCTTTCTGGTGGCAGGACGGAGGCGGGCGGGGACGCAATGGGGCCATCCCTCAGGCTCCGTTTTCGGCCCCCCAGGTTGGATCAAGACCTTTGACAAGTACTATGCAGAGCAGACGCAGCACATCCTCAACAGCATGGTGTCCAAGCTGCAGGAGGACCCGCGGCGCCGCTTCCTCTGGGCCGAGGTCTCCTTCTTCGCCAAGTGGTGGGACAACATCAGTGCCCAGAAGAAAGCTGCCGTGCGCAGGCCAGTGCCGGGTGGAACTGGAACAAGGGGTGCCAGAGAGGGGAGAATGGCAGGAGAGGGTTCTAGAAGGAGAAGGCCCAGCCAGCGAGTGGGACGTGGGTGTTAGGAGACATCAGAGCCGCATGAGTGTGTCCCCTGGAGCTGAGACGGAGGCACCGGGAGGAGGGTCCCCGGCCAGGCCCTGCCCCTGCTGACTGAGCCCTCAACTCCAGGCTGGTGGGGAACGGGCAGCTGGAGATCGCGACGGGCGGCTGGGTGATGCCGGATGAGGCCAACTCACATTACTTTGCGCTGATCGACCAGCTCATCGAGGGCCACCAGTGGCTGGAGAGGAACCTTGGTGAGTGCGGGTGGGCGGGGACAGGCCTGAGGACAGACCCGGAGTGGGTCCTTTTGGGCACATCGCCACGTACTGGCCAGGTGGGAGCCGCCGCCCAGGGACCGGGCCTTTAGGACCTGTGTTTTCCGCGCCCCGCCCAGGTGCCACCCCGCGCTCAGGCTGGGCAGTGGACCCCTTTGGCTACAGCTCCACCATGCCTTACCTGCTGCGCCGTGCCAACCTGACAAGCATGCTCATCCAGAGGGTGCACTATGCCATCAAGAAGCACTTCGCTGCCACCCACAGCTTGGAGTTTATGTGGAGGCAGACATGGGGTGAGGCGGGGGAGGGCAGGGCAGGGCCCCGCGTCCTCAGCTGGCCCCAGAGTCTGCCTCTGGCCCCTTCAGGCCTTGCTGCCTGGTCCATGGGTGCCTGTCCCCACAGCCCCCATGCTCGCCCAGAGGCCTAGCCACCCAAGTTGGCAGACACCCCCCATCCCACCCCCACTCGGCCCCTGCCTTGAGCTAGTAACTCATGCCTGTGTCTCTACCCCAGACTCAGACGCCAGCACGGATATCTTCTGCCACATGATGCCCTTCTACAGCTACGATGTCCCCCATACCTGTGGCCCGGACCCCAAGGTCTGCTGCCAGTTTGACTTCAAACGCTTGCCCGGTGGCCGCATCAATTGCCCCTGGAAAGTGCCGCCTCGGACTATCACGGAGGCCAACGTGGCCGAGAGGTTCGTGACACTGCGGAGTCTGGCCTCAGCCTCTGGCAGGCTCTGCTGCCTGGGCCTGGGTCCCAGTACAAGGGATGGGTGCAGGTCGGCACCGAGACACCCTGTGGTGGAGGTCAGTCAGAACTGGCTGGCTCACACAGAAGCGAGGGGCTGTAGTGATAGGACAGTAGGGAGGGGGCTTGCCTTGCACACGGCCGACCGGGCTGCATCCCTGGCACCCCACGTGGTCCCCTGAGCACAGAGCCAGGAGGAGCCCCTGAGTCTCGCCAGATGTGACCCAAAAAACGTAAGAAAAAAGAGTGATCCGAACAGTGATTGGGCCAGAATCCGATCTGCTTTCAGAACAGAACCAGCCAAACTGGTTTTCACATTGTGACAGTCTGATCGCCGCGTATCTGAGAGGTGAAACCTGGCCGTGGTGGAAAGAAAGTCTCTTGTGCTTTCCAAACCCGCAGCTCGAGTCCAGCGGGGCCTGGGATGGGGCAGCAGGCCAGGTGCTGCTTGAGGTGGGAGCGGCCTGCGTAGCACCCACACGCATCACTGTCGTGGCTCTAATCCCCCACAAACTGCCTCTTTCCACCGTCCTTTTCTTCTTCCTGGTCTTTGCTTGGCTCACCAGTCTCGTGCCCGGCCCCCCACTTACGGGCCCCTCGGAATGTCATGGGGGCCCATGTAAGAGGAGTCCCTGTTGAGAAACCCGTTCTTGAGGAACACTGGCCCAGTTGGGTTCAGTGGAGCTGGGTGGGGTGAGCGGTGGCCTCTCTGGACCAAATGCGAGGTTGGTCTGCAGAGGTCAGGCTCTGGGGCTGTGTGCTCCTGCCGACTTGGCCTGAAGTTTAGATGGGAATGAAGGTGATGGGTGTTACTCCTGCTGTGTGCTTTGATGCAGTTCATTGTGACTCATCTTACAAGCATGGACGTTTTCCTCAGTCTCCAGAGCTTGCAGCCAGGGAGGTTAAGTTAGTTGCCCTGGTCCCTCTATGAGGGGCTCAGCCCCAGACCCCATTGCAGTGAGGCTGGAGTGTCAGAATTCATGGCCCAGAGGCATCACCAGATGAGGCTCCCTCCAGATGCAAGGGTCCATCCCCTTCGTTCCAGACACAGAATAAGAAGGTTTCTGGGGAGGGGACTCCCCAGGGGAGCAACGTCAGGCCCAGTGGGGCGTGGGGGGGGGCTTCCAGTCCCTGGCCGGCCCTCCCTGGGCTCCCATGTTCAGTGCAGTGGAGACCCCGGCTCGCAGCCTGCCTGCCCGTGGTGGGGTCTGTGTTGGTAAGGGGCAGCTGGGGGCCTGTGGCCGGGCTCGGCTCACGGGAGCTCTGTGTTCTGGTGGTTCTTCAGGGCCGCCCTGCTGCTGGACCAGTACCGGAAGAAGTCGCGGCTGTTCCGCAGCAACGTCCTCCTGGTCCCGCTGGGCGACGACTTCCGCTACGACAAGCCCCAGGAGTGGGATGCGCAGTTCTCCAACTACCAGCGGCTCTTTGACTTCCTCAACAGCAAGCCTGAGCTGCACGTGCAGGTCTGGGCCCTCCCATCAGGCGGGGTGCCCCTGTCGCGGCCCTGCCGCTGACCCCCGTGGGCTTGGCTCCTGCAGGCCCAGTTCGGCACCCTCTCTGAGTACTTTGACGCGCTGTACAAGAGGACGGGCGTGGAGCCGGGCGTCCGGCCTCCTGGCTTCCCGGTGCTGAGTGGGGACTTCTTTTCCTACGCTGACCGGGAAGACCACTACTGGACCGGCTACTTCACTTCCCGACCATTCTACAAGAGCCTGGACCGGGTGCTGGAGGCCCACCTGCGGTGAGGAGCCCCTCCAGGCTGGCCCACAGGGCCAGGGGCAGGAAGACACAGGGTCTGCGGGGCGCGAGCAGGCCGCTGACCTCTGTGCCTCTGGCTCCACAGTGGGGCAGAGATTCTCTACAGCCTGGCTGTGGCCCATGCCCGCCGCTCTGGGCTGGCCAGTCAGTACCCGCTGTCCAACTTGGCTCTGCTGACAGAGGCCCGGCGCTCGCTGGGGCTGTTCCAGCACCATGACGCTATCACGGGCACAGCCAAGGAGGCCGTGGTGGTGGACTACGGGGTCAGGTGAGGCCCGAGCGAGCGGCCGTGCAGGGTGGTGGGCACGCCCATGGGTGGAGGGTTCTGCTACTGTCCACTCCCGCCCAGGCTGCTGCATGCCCTGGTGGGTCTGAAGCAGGTCATCGCCAACGCAGCCCACTTCCTGGTGGTGGCGGACAAGGACACCTACCACTTCGACCCCGATGCCCCCTTCCTGCAGATGGTGAGCTGTGGGGGCACCCCCTTCCCTTCCCGCTCCTGGGGCGGCCGGTGGGGAGGAGGGCTGAGCCCAGCACCATCCCCCCTGCCCACGGATCCAGGACGACAGCCGCTCCAAGCACGACGCCCTGCCTGAACGCACCGTGATCCAGCTGGACACCTCACCCCGGTGAGCCCTCACCCACTCTGCCAGCTGCCGGGGGCGGGGGGGATGGGCCTGACCCGCTGGGGATCAAGGATGAGCTCCTGTCCCCCACCTAGGTCTGTGGTGCTCTTCAACCCCCTGGAGCAGGAGCGGCTCAGTATGGTGTCCTTGCTGGTCAACCTGCCCCATGTGCGGGTCTTCTCGGAGGATGGGCAGCCCCTGGCCGTGCAGGTCGGTGCCCACTGGAAGTCGGCCACCGCCACAGTCCCCAATGTCTACGAGGTGAGGTGGGAGTTGTTGGGCAGGGCCGGGTGCCGACCGTGGCTGTGGCAGTTGCATGTCCACCCTTGGTCACTCAGCAAATGCTGCTCAGCTTTGCCAGAAACACAGCTTGTCTGCCCCCAGCCCCCGTGGTCAGCGGTGGGAGGTCGTCCCCACACCCTGCATGTGAGGGACCGTGGCCGGGGTCCCTGGCTGGCGCAGGGACTAAGGCCCCCGCGCTGCCCATAGGTGTCTGTGCCCCTCCGCCTGCCCGCCCTGGGCCTGGGTGTCCTGCAGCTGCAGCCAGGCCTGGATGGGCAGCGCTCCCTGCCCTCCTCCACGCGCGTCTATCTCCACGGCCGGCGGCTCTCGGTCAGCAAGCCCGGGGCCTTCCCGCTGCGGGTCCTCGACTCCGGCACCGGAGACTTCTCCCTCAGCAACCGCTACCTGCAGGTCTGGTTCTCAGGCCTAACGGGGCTGCCCAAGGTAAGGGCGGGGCGGATGGGGTTCCGGAGGGAGCCCAGCAGGGGGGTGCTCCAGGGGACGTTGGGCCGCCTCTGTGGGCAGGCCTGACGTGCTGCTGTGGGGCCAGGGGTCAGGGCTGTGTTTCTCGGCAGAGCATCCGAAGGGTGGACGAGGAGCAGGAACACTGGCTGAGCATGGAGCTCCTGGTCTACGGCACCCGTGCGGCCAAGGACAAGAGCGGGGCGTACCTCTTCTTGCCCGATGGCGAGGCCCAGGTGAGGAATGCCTGGGGGTGAGGGACAGGGGTCAGCGGAAGGATGTGGGCTGGGGAACCTGGTCACAGCTGGTGTGCTGGGCCGCAGGCCTGTCTCCACCACTGGTGGTCAGTGATGTTCTGTCCCCGGCTCTCCATAGCCCTACGTCCCCAAGGAGCTGCCCGTGCTGCGCGTCACCGAAGGCCCGTTCTTCTCAGAGGTAGAAACCCACTACGAGCATGTCCAGCTGCTGTTCCGGCTCCATAACCTGCCAGGTGAGCCAGAAGGTGGGCCTGGCCCCATGGTCTCAGCTTGTGACCACCCCCTCCAGTCTTGGGACCCCCCAGCCGTGACCTCCCAGTCCCATGTCCCCCCAGCCCTGGTACCACCCAGCTTTGTGACCTCCCAGCCCTAAGATTGCCCCCAGCTCCATGATCCCCCTGGCCCCGTGATCCCTTAGCCCCATGGCCTCTGAGCCCAGCTGTTCAATCCCCATCCTGTGCCCAGGGATAGAGGGGCTGTCCCTGGACGTGTCGTGCCTGGTGGACATCCGGGACTACGTGAACAAGGAGCTGGCCCTGCGTGTGCACACGGACATCAAGAGCCATGGCACCTTCTTCACGGACCTCAATGGTTTTCAGGTGTGTCCTGGGGCCCTGCTGAGCCGAGCTGGAGGGCAGGGGGCTGATGGGAGAGCAGAGTCAGGGCTCCTGTGGACCCAGCCCTGAGTCCAAACCCGATCCCCCAGGTGCAGCCCCGGCGCTACCTGAGGAAGCTGCCCCTGCAGGCCAACTTCTACCCCATGCCCACCATGGCCTACATCCAGGACGCGCAGAGCCGCTTTACCCTGCATACGGCCCAGGCCCTGGGCGTCTCCAGCCTCAGTGATGGTGAGTGGGCAGGGGCCGAGGGGTGCAAGAAGGGGAGCCAGTCCTGCCCCCTTCCAGTTCAGAAAAAGAAGAGAGAACGTGGGCTGCTCTAGAGAAAAGACTGAAAGAGGTTGGTAAAGATTAGAAACCAGACCAAAACAAAAATCTGCCTTTCTGTTGTCTACACCGTCAACTCCTGACCGAGAAAAAGTGCTCGGGGGGTTGTTCTAGCTGCCAGGGGGCCCAGCCGAGGTTTGGAGATCTCCTGGGATGACCTAGGAAAGGGACTGACTTAGGTCTCAGCCTGGGGCCGTGAGAGCCGCAGGGTGCAGCCAGGTGTCCCTGGGCTGGAGAGAGTGCACCGGGTAAGCCTTGCATCCTGCCAACCCCCTTCCACTGCCCACACATTATGGTCACTCCTGAGCACTGCTGGGTGTGGCGCAACCTCCCCACCAATCCCTACCCCCATCCCACCCCCCAAGACAAGCAGAGGTCTTGACCTAAGACTGTCCTTTCCCTGGCTAAGATGTCCTCTATGCAGTTCTCTGCACAGCCACTGTCACAGCCATGCCAGGCTGTCCCTACTCAGCCCCGTTGAGGGCTGAGGCAGGCAGGACGCCAGGTCGCTGTGGGGCAGGCAGAGGGCACGTTTGCTGCGTGCGCCAGCCTGGAGCCGAACCCAAGGCACAGGCCCCCCATGGCCTCGGGACGGCTCGGCTCCTGGCACTGTTCTGAGCCTTCACAAGTCACCTCCCCAGGCCAGCTGGAGGTGATCCTGGACCGGCGGCTGATGCAGGATGACAACCGGGGCCTTGGCCAAGGACTCAAGGACAACAAGAGGACCCGCAACCACTTCCGCCTCCTGTGGGAACGCCAGGTGGACTCTGGCCGCCAGGTGACAGCTGGGCCCAGCTCTTTTGGGAGGGAGGGACTTCGCCATGGTCCCTTCCGCTCTCACTGTCCTCTGTCTCCCGCAGGTGCCCGAGCTCCTCCCTACCAGCTTCCCGTCCCTCCTCAGCCACCTGACCTCAGTGCACCTCAACACTCCCGTGCTGGCCCTTCCTGTGGCCACGAGGCCGTCGCCAGGCCCGGTCCTGCACTCCTTCCACCCTCTGGCTTCCTCGCTGCCCTGTGACTTCCACCTGCTCAATTTGCGGGCGCTGCAGGCTGAGGTGAGCCCGAAGGTGCCCCCACCCCCGTAGGTGGAGGTGAGCTGGGTGGTTCCCTGCCCCCCAGCCTTGCAACGTCTCACTCCCTCCCCCCCAGGAGGAGGCCTCACCCTCAGCAGAAGCTGCACTCATCCTCCACCGCAAGGGGTTTGACTGTGGCCTTGAAGCTAAGAATTTGGGCTTCAACTGTACCACCAGCCAAGGCAAGGTGAGGGGGGGGGCTCACCCCCATGTTTGGGGGATTCCGGGATCAGCTGTGGTAAGGTGAGGGACGCACAGAACCTGGTGTGTGGCACACAGGTGAGGCAGCGAGGCTGGCAGCAGTGCGGGGCTTGCCAGGGCTCTGAAGGGAAGGGGCATAGATGTGGATGTTATGGCTGGTGCTTACTGCGGGCCACAGGTCTCGGTGTCCTGGCAGAGGGCCCCACCAGGCCCATTCTGAAATAGTACCGTGAAGATCCAGAGCCTTTCGAGAAGCTTCTGTCTCCCTGGCAGCAGATAGTACACACCAGGCTGGCCACGAATCTGCATGTGGCTGTGGGGTGTTGCCCCAAGGGCCAGAGCTTCTGGTAGGTTCTGAGCAGTGTGCAGGTCTGCAGAGGGAGCCACCCACAGACGCACCTTCACCCTTCTCTCTACAGGTGGCACTGGGGAGCCTCTTCCAGGGCCTGGACGTGACCTTCCTGCAGCCGAGCTCCTTGACCCTGCTCTACCCGCTAGCCTCACCCTCCAACAGCACCGAGGTCCACCTGGAGCCCATGGAGGTGGCCACGTTCCGCCTGCGCCTGGGCTAGGCTTGGGGCACCGAAAGGCCTGTCCCCAGAGACACCCTGCCCCCAGGTTGGGCTGGCACCTGTCCCATCTACCTCTCAGCACTGGGGCGAAGAGCCTGCCCCCACCTGTTGCTGCTTCTGCCCGCGTGGGGGCAGCTGGGCTGTCTGGAGGCTCTGGCCAGCCTCCACTCTGGTGAGTGGCCGCCCCCCCAGGGCACAGGCCCCAGCACTGTCCCCTCTCCACTGTGGCAGTGGAGGAGATGCCTGAAGGGAAGGAGTCACCAGTGGGGCCACTGGACATGAGCCGGCTCAAGGGCCCCACTGCCTTGCGGGGCCATGCGCCCTGCTGTTCTGGGCTGCAGAATAGATGGAGCCGCTGTGTGTGGGCTCTTCTCTCAGTGCTCCGTGGCTGCGCCTGGCGTCATGGACATGGCAGGGAGCAGAACCCCTCTTGGTCTGGGTGCTGATTTGGGGGTCGGTGGCAAGGGTGGGGGGCTCTCCCTGACCCCGCTGGTTCCTGGGCTCCGCCCCACTGACATCTGGGGTGTCAGACTTCTCTCCTTAGCACAAGGCCCTGGTGCGTGGTAGTCTGGAGTGGCAGCCGGGTCATGGAGCTGAAGCAGGGGAGGGCTGCATGGCGCTTGTCTCAGCTGGAGCAGCAGAGAAAAGGTCTGGTGGTCTTCCTAGACGCGGGATCGCTACTTGGTCAAGGCTAGGTCTTTTGTGGAAACGCTGAATGAAACAGTGAATGTCAGATTTCCAGACACCCTGATCTCGATGAAGGGTGCGTCCAGAATCCAAGTTCAGGATGCCCAGGCTTGCCCACGAGCCAGACTTTCACCTGGGGTCATTCCACTACATCCCGGCACCGACCTTCCAACTCCAGACTTTGCGCGACTCCTGTAACCCAAACCACACCTGCCGTGTTTCTGTCAGAGCCTGCTGCTTCACAGCCCATAAACTCACTGACTCGTGGGCTCCGTCAGGTTCTTGTCGCCATTGACCAGACCTCACAGTTCCTGTGTCCGTGTGTGTACTGGGGGGCAGTGGGGAGTGTGGGGTGGATGGGGGTGGATGCTCTCCGTGTGTGGGGTAGACGGCCAGGTATGCGGACAGCCGGTGGGATAAGGCGCCCCCTTCAGACACAGCCTTAGACGCGGAGTGAAGAACCTTCCTTACCACTGCCCCCGAAATTGGTTCCAGGGAAAGTCCCCAAGGACTGGAACTCGTGCCTACCCGTGCCTACCTTGTACAGGGGGCAGGGTTCACCCTGGCACCACTGCCTGTGGCCCTGGCTCCAGCAGCAACCACCAGACCACCGACCCAGGCACTACCAGGGGTGGGTGTCCTCCCAAAATACTGAGTTCTTGTGGGCCAGAGCCAGACAAGAGTATACATAGGACATGAGGCACTTGTCCTGCGTGTGGTTGACCTGGGTCTGATCCCCAGCATCATGTATGGTCCCATGAGCACCACCAGATTTTGGCCCCAAAGAAAGTTCTCCAAAAAGCTGCCAAAGCTTGGTCTGCCTAGAAGGATTACCCAGAACTTTAAGACTTTCCCCACTCATCTTCATTTCTTGTCCTTTGTGTAGCCTTCCACTTGTTCTGGGCATCTGTGTGGCATGCAGCACGTGGCACAGGGCTGCCACCAGGATCCCCAGGGACGAGGCCCTCACCTTCACTACAGAAGAGCAGATATCCTGCTCATTGGCTCCCTGCTCTGGAGGCTGGGCAAGGAGCAAAGACAACTTAAATCTTTTATGGCAAACCTTTATTTCCCAGAAAGACTTCCCGAGGCAGCTCCAGGCTGAGGCCTAGAGAACAATAGATTCAGGAAGGCTGCTCGGTGGGAATATCCTTCAGGGTAGGAAAGTCTCTGACCTCAGGCAGCTCATGCACTCCGGCTAGAGGGCTCAAAGGCTCAATCCTCGTTGCTTAAACAGCTGCCTCAGGGCCTCTTCCATTTGCTGGTTGGTTCCCTGCAGCCCCCTGACCACCTGCGCTGCCCACTCAAAGTACTCCTGGACCCGCTGTTCAGACCAACCTGCGGAAGCGTGGACAAAAATTCGCTGCTCTTGTCCGGCACGGGTTTCAGCCCTTTAGATGGACAAGGCGCCCCCGCCCAGCTATGTGCTACTCTAAGGAAGCACATGCGGGCCCTGAGGCCCAGAAGGCTGGATCCGGGAAATGGGGGGGGGGGCCACGACGACGACAACACACAGCCCAGGGGCTTCCCCTTCCAGCGGCAGAGGGTGGGGCTTACCCTTCGGGGTGCAGCGGGCCAGGTCCCTCAGGTTGTAGAGCTTGTCGGCCAGCTTCACCAGCTTGGCCCCGGGGCTGCCGTGGGGCGCCCGCTCCACCTGCAGCCGCTTCCTCTCCGCCTTGGCCAGACTCTTGTCGTCCGTCACCTCCTCCACCAGGCCCCGCACCTGGGCCCCGAAGCGGCGCTCCAGCTCCTCCAGGCTGGTGTCCGTGTCCTCCACGGTGTCATGGAGCAGGGCCGCCTGTGGACAGCGCCCACTCAGCCGCGGCTGCGGCGGGGTCCCCCACCCCGGGCGTCACTTACCTGCAGTACCGCGATGTCGGCGATTCCTGCCTCGTGGGTCAGGATCCGAGCCACACCTGGGGGCGGGAGGGCGGGGCGGTCAGACCCCACCTGGGGGCGGGGGCGGGGGCGGGCAGACCCCGCCTGGGGGCGGGGGCGGCAAGACCCCACCTGGGGGCGGGAGGGCGGGGCGGTCAGACCCCACCTGGGGGCGGGGGCGGCAAGACCCCACCTGGGGGCGGGGGCGGGGGCAGGGGGCGGCCTGGCGGTGGCTCTGGTCGAGTGACCCGAGGAGCAGCTCCGACCTACGGCGGCTGCTCCCGGTCCCCCCGAGTCCCACCCCCACCCACAGGGCCGTCGCGCACACCGATCGGGTGGTTGATGTAGGGGGTCTCCTCGGGGTCCTTCCGCCGCTGGCTCCGGTGCTTGCGCGCCGCGAAGTCGGCCGCGTCCAGCAGCCGCGCCGCCTCCGACTCCATCGCTGCTCGCGGAAGCCCACAGCGCCCCCTGGCGCCGCGGAGGTCTGGCGCCACTGCCCGGGGAGCTCCGCCGGGGTCGCAGGAACCCGCAGGAACGAACCCGCGGTCTCGCAGCCCGCTGAGTCCCGCGCTGGAAGCACCGTGCCCGGACGCCTGGAAGGAGGATTTTGTTTTTTTCTGCTCTTTGGGTCCAAACGAGGATGCTCAGGGGGTCACTCCTAGCTCTGCACTCAGGAATCACTCCTGACGGTGCTCGGAGGAACTTGTGGGTGCCGGGGATCGGCCCATACAAGCCCTCCCCACTGTGCTATCTGCTGGCCCCACAAGTGCATGTCTGTCTTGGTGGCTGCTTCAAGTCCCCAGGTGCCAGCCAGGGGGCCCCCGGGAATGAATGTCGCCAGGGCTGCCCTGGGAGTTTGATGTTGTTGAACTTGGTGCTTGACCCACTCTCCGCCAGGCTGCGAGCCCTAAGCTTCCCTCAGATGAAGTGGGGCGGGCACGAGAGGTGACCCCAGCAGAGCACCCCCCTACGAAATTGGAGCGTGTCGGGCCGGTAGCATGGCAGGGCCCCTCCTGAGGGCGGAGGGCAGGTGAAGGCAAGGACTGCCCTGGGTTTCCCGCTAGGCTAGGCGGTTGCCACGCTGCAGGTGGTGGGGAGGGACGCTCCAAACGCTCAAATGAGGTCTCGGGGGAGCAGGGGGATGAAATGGGGCGGGCCAAGCCCCCGGGAAGCCCTGCTGGAGCCCAGAAGCAGATTAGCTTCAGCTCTTAGGACTGTCATCTCTTCTGTCCTCCTCCGCTGCCCGGTCCAGCAGGGGCTCCCCCTCCAAAGCCCAAGACAGAGAAACTCCAGGTTTGTGTTCCTGGGGCCCCTGGGCATTGCCCTTTTATTTCACCCCTGTCAGCAGCAGCGGCTTAGGCCGACCAATGTGGGGGTTCCTAGGAGCAGTGCCAAGATCAGGAGGTGCCGCCATGGGTTTCCAGAGGAGCCGGTGCCCTTTGCTGGTGGGCCTGAGTGGGGGGTTGCTGCTACTCCTCAACTGGGGGTCCCTGGTGCAGCCCATTGATCTCTCAGGTAGGACACTGTCCCCCAACCCCAGGTCCCTCTCTGAGAACGCCTGGACGGGAAGGGGGTGATGTTGGCTGCGGGTGGGCGGGGGCAGCCCTGCCCCCAGCTCTCCAACTCTGCCCTCCCCCCACCGTGTCCCTCCCTACAGCGCTGGCGCATCACCCCCACTTATGTGAGACCACCCGGGCAGCGGACGGCCGCCGCTTCCCAGGCTTCTTCTGCCCCAGGCTCTCTGATGACCCCGAGCAGGCTTACTGCTGCCACATGCAGGCCGCGGGGGGTTCCTGCTGCACTCTGGCAGAATTCGAGGCTCTGTACCAGGTCAACCTGTCTTCCTTGCCGTCCCCGCCCATCTTCCGGTGAGACCCGGGCTCGGGTCAGGGGGCTCAGAACTACGAGCAGGGGTGGCGGAGTGGCGGGGCAGAAACGCCCGCGAATGCACGCACGGGATTGCACACAGTGCATTCCTGTGTGCGAGGGGGAGTCGGGCACGTGAAGGCAGGTGACAGCGTTGGAGCTGCGGGAAGGGAAGTACCAGCGCGAGCGCCTCGCAGTCCGGAGGTCGCACACGGGGCCCGCCTCTCCGCGGGATGGCTTTAGGATACCGTTGGGCCCCCGTATTTCTATCGCAAAGCCCACGTCTGTCCGCGCAGGGGAGCCCCAACTTTTCCGGGGCTCTGCAGCAGGGCCAGTACCCGAAAAGTCCACTCTGTCCCGCAGGGGCCCCGGCCCGCTCTTGGCGCTGGGCCTCTACAGCCTGCTTCTCGTGGCGCTGATGACGGCGGACCTCGTGCACTTCTGCCGCGGCCGGGGTCGGCGTCCAAGCCGGGTTTCACGCAGCCCGAGCCCCTCGCGCCAGGCACTCCCCCCGCGGTCCTCCACGGCGCGGCCCCTGCACGTCCCGGTGGGCGCGGACTAGGCGCGTCGCGTCTGCGTCTGCGCCTGCGCACCCGCCCCGCCGCCCCGCCCCTCCGCGCGGGGTGCGCTGGCCACGCCCCCTCGGCGCGCTGGCCACGCCCCGGGGCGGGGCTCCGCGGCGGACTCCCGGACACTGCGCGTGCGCGGGCCAGGACTTTGCCTCCGCGATGACGGTGAGTGGCGCCCGCGTCCCTGGGAGTGGGTTCCCCAGCGGCCCCCGGCTGCGCCCGAGCCCACCCCGACCCTTCCGGCCCCGCAGGCCAGCGCCGTGGAGGAGCTGCGCAAAGAGGGCAATGCGCTCTTCAAATGCGGGGACTACGAGGGCGCCCTGGCCGTCTACACCCGGGCCCTGGGGCTGGGCGCCGCACCCCAGGACCAGGCCGTGCTGCATCGGAACCGGGCCGCCTGCCACCTGAGGCTGGTGAGGCCTCGTGGGGGGAGGGCGCCCGGGGCCCGGGGCGGGGCCCGCCCAACGCCCTCCTTCTCTCGCAGGAGGATTTCGCCCAGGCGGAGAGGGAGGCGTCCAGAGGTAGGAAAGGAGGGCGCGGGGTCCCCGCACCCCCGGCGCGCACCCGCCTTCTCGCTTCCCACGTCCTCGGGCCTTTCCTTCTCCGCAGCCGCCCGCGCCTTTTCCGTGGCCGGACTGGGCTCCCGCCCGCCTCCGGCGCTGGAGACCTCTCTCTCCTCTCGCCGGGAGACGGTGCTCCCTGGGGTGCTGACGGAGCTCCCGTTTGTGCCCAGCCATTGAAAGGGACGGTGGGGACGTCAAAGCGCTGTACCGCCGGAGCCAGGCCCTCGAGAAGCTGGGCCGCCTGGACCAGGCCGTCCTGGACCTGCAGAGATGCGCGAGCCTGGAGCCCAAGAACCGAGTTTTCCAGGAGGCCCTGCGGAGCATCGGGGGCCAGATTCAGGAGAAGGTAGGGCTGTGGGGAGGGCGCGCGCGCACACACGCGCACACACTCACACACACACACAGAGCTGTGGGGACAGAAGCTGTGTCAGGACCATAGGGGACCGCTCACGTAGCCACGACTAAGGAAAAGCAGATTAAAATCATCTCAAAGCCATCTCGCACAGGAGAGACCTTGGGGTTGGAGCCCCCGCAACCCTTCCAAAAAGGAAAAAAAAAACAGATCTGTTTGATCAGACTTTGTGCTTTGGTACTTATGTTTTTGTGTATTTTTTTGTTTTGTCTTTGTTTTGAGCCCAAGCCTGGCAGTGGTCAGGGGTTACTCCTGCATCTGTACTCCGGAATTAATAATCCTCGCCGTGCTTTGGGGACCATATGGCATGCAGGGGAATGAACCTGGGTTGGGAGTGTGCCGGCAAGTGCCCTCCTCTCTGGGCCTACTCGGAGTGGTGTGTTTTCTTCTTTTTTTCCTCTGATTTTTGGGCCACGCCCAGTGATCCTGTCTCATTCAGGAATCACGCCTGGCAGTGCCCGGGATCAAACCCAGGTTGGCTGATTGCAAGGTAAGCCCACTCTTGGCCACACCCCCAACACTCAGGGGCTTCTCCTGGCTTGCTGTTTGGGGATCATTTCCGGCAGAGCTGCCCGGCTCGAGCACAGCTCTCAGCACATAACTGGGTCTGTTCTGTGATCCCCTGAACTGACTTGTCCTCCTGGACACGTGGTGGTACTGGGTAGATGTATTGCTGCCTTGTTTGTGGTGGTGAGAAGAGGGAACCGGCCACATTGCCCAGGATTAGAGGTGCTGTCCTGCTGCACCCCTCTAACTCTAGTCCCCAGCGTGTTTGGACATGAGGGAGGATGCTTGTTAAATGAGAAATGGTGGCAGTGAGGGGGAAGCCTCCTCCCAGGGGAAGGGCACCTGTGTGCCAGGATTTGGACATGTATACCTGCCGCTGTGTGGCGTTTTCTCTGTGCTCGAATGTGTAGGGCTGGGCAGGGAACCTGGGCCTTCCATGGGAGAGTGTTGAAAAGGCGCACATTAAAAGGCTAATCCTGTGGCCTTGGGGGAGAGACTAGGATCAAGAGGGCTTTTCAGAGGAGATTTTGCTCCACCTGCTTATTCATTTTTATATGGAGACGCTCTGTGATCCATAAAGTCAGTTAAAGGCATCAAAAGGAAAGGGAGCCCTAGTGCAGAGGGCAGGGCATTCGCATTGCACGTGGCTGGCGTGGGTTCATTCTCTGTCATCCCACATACAGGTCCCCCTGTACCGCCAGGAGTAACCCCTGAGCAGGGCAGGGTGTGACCCCAAAAGCAAAATAAATAAAAAACATCAAACGACTCAAGCATTGTAAACAAACTCGAATTAGCTAGTTTGGTGGTAAAGATGCGGGTCAGAGAACACAGTGCAGGCTCTTCATTGAAAATCTGAGTGGGCAGCAGGTGGGTCTTAGGGCAAGCCATGGTATGGGCAGTGGCTGCCCATTAGCCCCACAGGGAGCAGGATCAGACGTAGCCCTCCTAGGACTGGCAGGGGATGCTGCCTTAATGGGTTAGTCATGTCTGCTGTAGAGGCAAGAAGGCAGGAGCGACACATGTGCCACCTTCCCTCCCAGGACCTGGGGACGGACGTAAGGGCCCTGAATGATGTTGCTTCTTCAGCTCTTCTGCTAATAAGGCAATGCTGGCCCTTTTCACACACACACACACACACACACACACACACACTTATATATATTTATTTTGCCCATACCCGGCAGTGCCTGGGGCTTACTCTTGGCTCTACACTCAGGGTTTATTCCTGGCAGGCTCAGGCTCCCATATGGGGTCCCAGGGATCGAATCAGGGTCAGCCATGTGGACAGCAAACACCTTACCCGCTACACTATCTGTCCAATCCTTAGATCATTTAATAAGTGTAGCACTGTAGCACCGTCCTCCCGTTGTTCAGCGATTTGCTTGAGCAGGCACCAGTAACGTCTCCATTGTGAGACTTGTTGTTACTGTTTTTGGCATATTGAATACGCCACGGGGAGCTTTGCCAGGCTCTGCCGTGCAGGCAGGATATTCTTGGTAGTTTGCTGGGCTCTCCGAGAGGGACAGAGGAATCGATCCCGGGTTGGTCGCGTGCAAGGCAAACGCCCTACCCGCTGTGCTTTCGCTCCGAAGAAGCGTAAAAAAGGAGAAATCTAGAGCTAAAGGGCATGTTAGCAAAAACCTCCAGGTGAATGCTGAGCTCAGTGCTGGGACCTCATGCTCTGCTGGCATGGGACAGGCTGCCTCGGGCGGCAGGACGCCTGGATGCTGCCGCCTGCCTGGTACCACCCAGCTGCCCAAGCAGGAAGCGGCTGGAGGGAAGTTTTGGAGAAGCGGCCGGGCGAGTCTCTTCCTGCCTGGGCTGGTGTAGGCGCCCCAAGCCTGAAGTCCTTGAGGGACTTCAACAGCGCCCCTGGCAGAGCCGGGGTCAGGCAGGGAATGGGGTGTCCCCATGGGACCTGCTGGGGTTTGACTGGCCACTGGGTGGTGTCCCTCCTAGGTGCGCTACATGTCCTCGACTGACGCCAAGGTGGAGCAGATGTTCCAGATCCTGCTGGACCCGCAGGAGAAGGGCACCGAGAAGAAGCAGAAGGTACAGTCTCAGTGTCCACCAGAACCACTTGCCTGCGCTGGCCTGTCCCCACTGAGCTGTGAGCAAGCTCGTCCCTCCCCTCATGGAAGTGAGAGGTCGAGGGTGCTGTCGCCTTCCCTGGGTAGCAGGCCAGGGCCACGTGCACTGCCCATGCTGTGAGAGCCTTCCCTCCCGCAGGCTTCGCAAAACCTGGTGGTGCTGGCCCGGGAGGAAGCCGGGGCTGAGAAGATCTTCCGGAACAACGGGGTGCAGCTCCTGCAGCGCCTGCTGGACACGGGGGAGACTGACCTGATGCTTGCGGCCCTGCGCACGCTGGTTGGCATTTGCTCGGAGCACCAGAGCCGGGTAGGTGGCCTGTGCCTGCCCGGTCTGTCTCTCCCTCCATCCCCCTGTTCACCTGGCACGAGCCTGCAGATGTGTTTCCCTTCATCTGCCTTCAGAGAAACAGAGGCAGGCTCTATGGGGACACATAGTACTTGTTTGGGGGGGGGGGTGTCATACCATTGGCCACACTCTAACTTGGTGCCACCATCCACCTCCCCTCACAGACGGTGGCCACCCTGAGCGTGCTGGGCACACGGCGCCTGGTCGCCGTCCTGGGTGTGGACAATGAAGCCGTGTCACTGGCCGCCTGCCACCTGCTCCAGGTGATATTTGATGCCCTTAAGGCCGGTGTCAAGCGAGGTTTCCAGGGCAAGGAAGGCGCCGTGATTGTGGGTGAGTGCAGCTAACCACGTGGGGTCCCAGGACTGTGACTAGTGACAGCCTGGTGGGTCCCCCTCCTGGCACTCCCCAGAGCCTCCTGTGTCCATTGTCCCCAGATCCCGCCCGGGAGCTGAAGGTCCTTCTCAGCAGCCTCCTGGATCTCCTGACTGAGCCGGGGGTGTCTGGCCAGGGTCGTGACAATGCCCTGACGCTGCTCATCAAGGTGGTGCCCCGCCCGTCTCTGAAGGACCCTGACAACAGCCTGACCCTCTGGGTCATTGATCAAGGTAGGACAGTGCTGGGCTCCACCTTTTCTGTTCCTGGCCCCCTGCCCCATTTTCCGTTTGACGGGGCTCTGCCTTGCCAGGTCTGAGGAAGATTCTGGAAGTGGGGGGCTCGGTGCAGGACCCCCCAGGAGAGCTCTCAGTCACCGCCAACAGCCGCATGAGCGCCTCCATCCTTCTGAGCAAGCTCTTTGACGACCTCAAATGTGACGCCGAGAGGGAGAATTTCCACCGCCTCTGTGAGAGCTACATCAGGTGTGGGGGGGCCCTCCCCTGTTTCAGAGCAACCTCCACCCTGGGGAGGGCACGCGGTGTCATCAGGTTGGCCTCCCTGAGGAGCTGGGGCGGTGCTCTGCGGTTGGGGTTTCCGGAAGGGCCCGGGGGAGCTGCAGTCCTGGCATCTTCCTGCCGGCCTGGCTGTGACCGCAGCCCTGTACCTGCAGGAGCTGGTTTGAGGGCCGTGGGCTGGCCGGGAAGCTGCGGGCCATCCAGACGGTCTCCTGCCTCCTGCAGGGCCCGTGTGAAGCCGGCAACCGGGCCCTGGAGCTGAGCGGCGTCATGGAGAGTGTGATTGCATTGTGTGGCTCCGAGCAGGAGCCGGAGCAGCTGGTGGCCGTGGAGGCCCTGATCCACGCGGCTGGCAAGGCCAAGCGTGCCTCGTTCATCACGGCCAATGGCGTCTCGCTGCTGAAGGACCTGTACAAGCGCAGCGAGAAGGACAGTATCCGCATCCGGGCGCTGGTGGTGAGTCTGGCAGCCAGGCTGGGGTGGGTGGCCAAAGGGAGCAGCGGGTCCCCAAGGGTTCTGGGACAGCCTCGCCACATGTGGGGTCAAGGGGGCCATCTGAGGCTCTCAGTGGTGACCCTCTTGCCTCTCCCAGGGGCTCTGTAAGCTCGGCTCGGCTGGAGGCACTGACTTCAGCATGAAGCAGTTTGCAGAAGGCTCCACCCTCAAGCTTGCCAAGCAGTGTCGGAAGTGAGTGGTGGCAGGCCTGGGAGGATCCCGTATCAGGAGTGAGTGGTGGTGGGCTCGGAAGACTCTGTGGGGGCTGAATCCTGCCTCAGCAGGGGATTGGAGGTCAGAGAGGCAGCCCAGGCTGCCCCGTCCCTCTGTGCCCGACTCTGAGGCCGCCCTGGCTCCACGCCCACAGGTGGCTGTGCAGTGAGGAGATGGACGCAGGCACCCGGCGCTGGGCCGTGGAGGGCTTAGCCTACCTCACCTTTGACGCTGACGTGAAGGAGGAGTTTGTGGAGGACACGGCTGCCCTCAGGGCCCTGTTCCAGCTCAGCAAGGTAGTGCTGGGGTGGCTCTGGGCCCTGGGCCCCATCTCAGACTCCCCTTTGGGCCTCCCTTGCAGTGCTCACAGAGGCTGTGTGGTTGGACTTGGGCCCTACCTCACGCCAGGCGTGAGCTCAGAGCCAGAGAGAGCACAGCAGGAACACACTTGCCTGGCATGTAGAAGACCCTGATTTTTGTTTGGCTTTTGGGTCGCACCCAGCAGTGCTCAGGGCTGACTCTTAGCCTGCACTGGGGGATCATTCCTGGCACGTTCGGAGGACCATATGGGATAGCAGGATTGAGCCTGGTTGGCCGTGCGTAAGGCAAACACCCTTTCTGCTGGACTGTCGCTCTGGGCCCATGCCCACCCTTGTTTGGGTCCTCGCGCCACATAGGGTCCCCTGGTCCTCTCCAGGGCTGGTGGGGAAGCTCTGCGTACCCCAGGCGGGGGGTTGACGCCCACCCTGCCTCTCCTAGTTGGACGAGCGCTCGGTGCTGTTTGCCGTGGCCTCGGCACTGGTAAACTGCACCAACAGCTATGACCATGAGGAGCCCGACCCCAAGATGGTGGAGCTGGCCAAGTACGCTAAACAGCACGTGCCTGAGCAGCACCCCAAGGTGAGATGCCGTGAGGGGCTGCTGACACAGCTCCTTCTGCCCTGGCCCTTCCCCTCCCCCACCCCCGGCCCCCAGCTCTGGCCCCAGCTCAGCACCGCCTTTCCTAGGACAAGCCGAACTTCGTGCGGGCCCGGGTGAAGAAGCTGCTCGCAGCAGGCGTGGTGTCGGCCCTGACGTGCATGGTGAAGACCGAGAGCCCGGTACTCACCAACTCCTGCCGTGAGCTACTCTCCAGGTAAGGCAGGTGAGCGGGTCCTGGCCCCCTGGCCACTGAGCCCCCAGCATTGACCACCCCCATTTCTCCGGTAGAGTCTTCCTGGCTCTGGTAGAGGAGGTCGAGGACCGTGGCACCGTGGTGGCCCAGGGCGGGGGCAAGGTGAGCTGGCCCCACTCCCTCCTGCCGGTCCTTCTGGAAAGTTCCCCAGAGCCCCCAGCACTGATACCTGGGCGGTCCTGGATTGTTACTTCCCGTGTCCAACCATCAGGGGACGCATTTAGAATTGCATGGTAGCTCCGGAGAAGGGATGAGGCCTGAACCGGGGTGGGTTGGGGGGGAGGAGGCGGGCAGGGGACAGCCACCATTGGGCCTGATGTCGGGGCACCTGTGATCATCCCATAGGCCCTGCTCCCGTTGGCTCTGGAAGGCACAGACGTGGGGCAGACCAAGGCAGCCCAGGCCCTGGCCAAGCTCACCATCACCTCCAACCCCGAGATGACCTTCCCTGGGGAGCGGGTGCGTGTCTTTTGCTCCTCGGGGCGGGTGGGAAGTGACGTAGGGAGGTGAGTGGGGGGCAGCCCTAACTGGTACTGAGGGTGCTCACAGATCTACGAGGTGGTCCGGCCCCTGGTCTCCCTGCTGCACCTCAACTGCTCAGGCCTGCAGAACTTCGAGGCACTCATGGCACTGACCAACCTGGCGGGTATCAGCGAGCGGCTGCGGTAAGGGCAAGCCTGGATGTGATGGGCCCTCACTGGGTACTCAGTCACTGCTCTGAGCTGCCTGTGTCTCCCATGAGTTGTGACAGCCTCAGCTTCCCGCTGTCCGAGCAGGCGGGTGGGGAGGGAGGCAGCTTAGGGCTGAGTGCCAGCAGCTCCATCAGCCTTGGTTCTTGAGAATGACCCTGCACCCCACACTCACACCCGCAGGGCCAAAGGGAGGAGATCCAGCAGGTCAGGGAAGGGGCACAGGGATCACATCCTTCTGCTGCCATCCAGGTCTCAGCCCCCCAACTCCTGCTGAAGTTCCACACGCTCTGAAGCTAAGCAGGGTGGCAGGGTCCACTGCAGGCCTCTGTTCGCCTGCCTGCTACAGGGGGTTTCCCCAGCCATTGGGGGTCTGGGTGCCAGGCTGCTGATGCCAACCCCCTGCCTGGGCCCTGCAGACAGAAGATCCTGAAGGAGAAGGCGGTGCCCATGATTGAGGGCTACATGTTCGAGGAGCACGAGATGATCCGCCGGGCCGCCACCGAGTGCATGAGCAACCTGGCCATGAGCAAGGAGGTGTGGCCTGGGGCCCCCCAGCCAGCGGGAGGGGGGTCCTTCCTGGCAGGGTTCGGTCCCCCGGACCCAGCTGCCACCGAGTATACGAGCAAATTGGCCAGGAGCAAAGAGATGCAGCCCAGGGCCAGTGGGGCCTGTAGGGAGCTGGTGCTGGTGGGGTTCGGCACCCCCTAACCGTGTTGCACCCCTCTGCTCTTAGGTCCAGGACCTCTTTGAGGCCCCAGGCAATGACCGGCTGAAGCTGCTGGTACTGTACAGTGGTGAGGACGATGAGCTACTTAGACGGGCAGCCGCTGGGGGCCTGGCCATGCTCACCTCCATGCGGCCATCACTCTGCAGCCGTATCCCTGAAGTGGTCAGTGTATCCGGGGACCCCCCGGCCTAGGGGCACTTGGTGGTGGGAACCCCCTGGGTGAGGTAGCTGTGCTCACTCTTCCCCGTGCCCTCCCGCCTGTAGACCTCACACTGGCTGGAGATCCTGCAGGCCCTGCTGCTGAGCCCCAGCCGTGAGCTACAGCACCGGGGCGCCGTAGTGGTGCTGAACATGGCCGAGGCCTCCAGGGAGGTGGCCAGCACCTTGATGGAGAGCGAGGTTCTGGAGATCCTGTCAGTGCTGGCCAAGGGCAAGGAGGGCCCAGCTGCCAGGGTGGCGGCAGCCTGCCTAGGCAAGGCTGTGGAATACGGGCTGATCAAACCCAACCAGAATGGAGAGTGAGCTGCAGGCACTGTCTACTGTTTGCCTCCACTGCCATGCACAGTGCGGAACACTCTGGAACCTGCTTCTCCAGCCACCTGCCTCACGCAGCAGCCCAGGAAGGAGCAGGTGCTTCCAGGCTGGCCCGAAGGCCCCGGCTCTGAAAGGGCACATCCCACAGCCTCGCCAGCTGTGAGCGTCACTGAGCCTGCACCAGAAGATCCCCTTCCCCCCAATAATAATAAAAGTGTGGGTGACATGCTGTGCTTTCCTGGCGAGGGCGGGGTTCGGGAGAGGGAGACTGGGTAAGTTAGAGGGTTGAAGGGTATAAACTTACTTGGGAGATGGCGCAAAGGGCTAGTGCACATGCGGGGGTCGTGTTGTTGGCACGGCTTGGGCATCTCTGGTGTGACCCCCGATAAAACAGAAGATTCCTCTCAGAACCCAAAACTCAGGCCTCAGTGACCAGTGGGCTTATGGTTTGGCTCTAAGTGCCTTGACTTGCTTCGCTATGGAGGATCGTCGGGATTCGGGGCGGGCGTGCAGGCTAGGGAATCCAGCTTTTGAACCCGAGGGGGTCCTTGCGGCGCCTTGCGCAACTGCCTGCGCGCCTCCAGTCTTTTAGTGATCATTGGCTGGGCAGAGATGAGTGACACGTTCTGAGCCAATGGGAGGTGGGTCCTCAGCCCACTACTTCCGGCTGTGCTTCAACCTGGCTGCGCGCCGTCGCCGGCTTTCTCCGAGAACCACCGGACCCTGCGCCGCACAGGGTGAAGGGCTGAGCCGCGGAAACCAAAAGCGCGGGTTTTGTAGGCTCTGGGCTCTGACACCGAGCTACACGGCCCGACCGGCCTTTGTGGCCGGTAGGATTCTCCACCTCGACCTGCGCCCTCGGCGGGACAAGCCCACACAGGGCCGCAGCGGCTGCGCAGGTTCGCCGAGCTTGGACGCGATTGGACGGGACTGCAGGTAAACCCGCTTCCTCGGTGACGTCATAGCCCTAGCTGGCGATTGGTCATGGGGCGGCCGCCACAACCAATGGGCGCCTCGCCCAGGGCGCGGCGCTTTAAACTTTTCTCCGGGCTCCGGCGGCTGCAACCGGTGAGCGGAGTTGGGTTTGCAGGTCGTAGGCGCCGAATCCGGGTCGGAGGACCAATTGGTGGTGGTGTTGATAAGGAGCTGGGAACCCTGAATCTGGTCAAGAAGCTTTGGCTGCAGGAGAGACCCGATAACGGACTCGGTGTGGCCAGAAGTTCTGGCCAAGCCAGCGCGTTGTCGGAGGCGGCGTTTTTGCTGTCCTTTATTTACCCTGGCCACCCAGAGTCGACCTTCGCTTCCGCTTAGAATGCGGCCTCGTGAAATACTTGCACTCGCAACCCGTACTTGCTATTTCGTCTAGGAGATTTACACACACAGTGTAAAAGGGAAGAAGCCAGGTTGGATTCCGGGCGGCCAGGTGGACGGGGAAGGACAGATGTGCGCTCCGGAGCATTGCCGCCCCGCAGACGCACTCCTCCGTGGAGCGAGCACTCTGCACTAGAGTCCTCGTGTCCAGACTGCGAATAGTGTCCGGGTTCCTTTCTCTGCAGTCTCCTCCGAGAAGAGCGGAGGTTCTGGTCGCCGGCATCCCAATGGATGGTGCACGCTGGGGATTTGGGGTGGAGGGGGCTCCATCCTAGCTAGGCACGTCCCCAGACATGAGTCAGAGGAGGGACAGGGAACGTTTGCGGTGGCGTCTCCCCTGTAGGCCAGCAGGGTGATCTTCTCTGTTTTCCAAATAAGGCAGCTTCGACTCCGGAACGGACTGCGACGTGGCAGCGGGTCCCGGAGAATCTCCGGGGTGTTGGCCCCCGACCCTGCCCCGCGAAGCGCGGGGCATGGCGGGGGCGCACCCGGCCGTCTGGTTCGGCTTCGGCTTCTGCGGCTTCGGGCAGGTGCCAGACTCGGGGAATGGGCGCCAGGTTCTCCGCCCCGAGCGGCTGCTGGACGCCGACATCTGCCGCGTGAGCGCCGGCTGGAGCTACACGGCCGTGCTGACCCGTGAGCGCCCCGTCGCGGTCGGCCCCGGGCCCCGCGCGCGTCTCTCTCGCCCGCGCCGCAGCCCCGCTCTCCCCCGCCTGCAGGTGCCGGCCGGCTGCAGCTGTCGGGCTCGGCGGACGGCGCGACCAGCGGCTGCACGGACGTGTGGGCCTCAGAGGAGCTGCTGGTGCTGCTGCGCTCGCGTCCGGGCCCGGGGCCACGCACCGAGCTGCAGGCCTGGGAGCCCGGGGCGGCGTTGCGCGGGGACCCCCGCTGGACTCGGCTTCTGGAAGACGCCAGCGAGTCGGGCGACGGAGGCGGCGGTGACCGTCAACCCGGCCCGCTGCCCTTGCTGCCCGGCGCCCGCGCTTACGTGAGCCCGCGGCCGCCCCACTACCGGCCTCTGGGCCCGGAGCTGCGGGCCCGCAGGTTGGAGCTGGGCGCGGAACACGCTCTGCTGCTGGATGCCGCCGGCCAGGTGTTCTCCTGGGGCGCAGGAAGGTGCGTGGAGGCGTGGCCCGGGTCTCGCGGTCCCGGGGAGGGGCGTGGGGCGTGGCCGGGTGTCGGGGGCGTGGCCTAGGTTTCGGGGCCTGGGAGGGGGGTGGGGGCGTGGCCTGAGTCTCGGGGACGAGTGAAAGGGAGCGGGGACTGGCCAGGGTCTCGGGGGCGTGGCCTGGGCCGAAGGGCGCGGGGAGGGGCGGGGGCATGGCCTAGGTCTCGGGGCGGGGGGAGTGGGTGTGGTCTTGGTCTGGGGGCGTGGCCAGCCGCGGAGCGGGCGGGTGAACGTGACGCGGGGTGGGGAGACCTCAGCGGCGACCCCTTCGCCAGGCATGGACAGCTCGGCCACGGGACGCTGGAGCCCGCGCCGGAGCCCAGGCTGCTGGAGGCGCTGCAGGGCCTGAGCGTGGCCGCGGTGGCCGCGGGTGGCTGGCACTCAGTGTGCGTGAGTGGTGAGTGACCCCTTTCTTCTTACCAGCTGTGGGGGCGCAGCCTCACGCCCTTTCCTCCGCCGCCTCCAGTAGGGGCGCCTGGCAGGCTTCCCGCTTTGCACAGTCCTTTCCTCTCGACTCCTGAGACGCGACTCCAGGTCCGCCCCTCGCCACCCCTAAGTTGTTTCTGCTCTCATTGCCGCGCTCTGCCCTGCCTTCTCGTTTTCTCGACCATTCCTGGGCAGCAGACAGGGGCAGCCCCAAGGAAGTGGCTGTGGCTGGTGGTGGAGGGGGAGGTGCCGCACCCCTTCTCCCCATCTACCTCCTTGCTGGTGGTGGAGGGAGCACACAGGCCCTACGGGCAGCGGGGGGCGGGGAATTCTGTTTCTCGGGGTTGGGGGCCTGGGAACCAACTTCTGGGCTCTTGGGACTGAGCGAGTGCCTCTGTTTGGAACGGGAAGATTGTTCTGGAAGCCCGCAGTGGGACTGTTGGGAGAGGTCAGTGATTGGGTTTGAAAAGTGCCTAAGACATGGGCTCAGGATAAACCTTTCAGGAAGGTTGACACCCTCTTCACCTGTGTGCAGTTTGAGGGGACAGTGGACAAGGGAGGTCTGGGAGAGGCGTTTGAATTAGGTGGCACTTGGAGAGGACCCCACTGTTAAGCCTGGGCCTTTGACCCTTCTCTTGAGGAAAGAGTGGGGCACAGGGTGTAGGAATTTGTAGTCAGTATACCCTGGTTTATTTTTGTTCTCTTCATTTGCTAATTTTATTTCCCAGTATTTCCACACGTGTTTTCAGTTAAACATTCAGCCTAGACTTCCTTTGCTCCACAGAACCCCCTCAGCTGATACCCGGTTTTGCGGGAAGGGCAGACTTTTGGATTTTTCTAGCGGCACAAAGTGTTCCGTTGTGTATTGTTCCCCATCTTCTCACTTTTCAAAAGCATTAGGGCCAACACGTGTGCCGCACACAGAGCCACACCCCTGCGTGCTCTCCTCACCCCATATCTTAGCTGCTGTGAATCACTGCAGTACGTGGGGAGGACTTGAGTTAATGTTTTCCTGGTTTGGCTTTGGGGTCACACCCGGCAGTGCTCAGGGCTCCCTTTTGACTCTGCTCAGCGATCAGTCCTGGAGGGGCTCAGGGGAACATACCAGGTGCAGGGGATTAAACCTGGCTGGCCACATGCAAGGTCAGTGTCCGACCTGCAGTATTACGTCTCTCCCACTCATGTATTGTTTTGCTTTTGGGTGTTCAGAGTTACTTCTGTTTCTGCATTCAGGCATTACTTGTGGCAGTGCTTAGGGGAACATACGGGATGTGGGGGCTAAACCTGGTCCCAGCCATGTGCAAAGCAAATGCCCTACCCACTGAACTATTTCTCCACCCTATCAGGAAGCTTTTGTCTTTCTAATATTTTCTTGCTGCACAAGTTTTTTTTATCTTATTGTTTGGGGCTACTCCCAACACATGTCTTAGTGCTCGGGGCTCACTCAGGACTGACTCCTGGCTCTTTGCTCAGGGATACTCCTGGTGGGACTTGGGGGACCATACGGGATGCTGGGGAGCAAACCAGGGGTCAGCCGCATACAAGGCAAGTGCCTTAACCCCTGCATACTCGCCACACAAAAAGGGCTTTTTAAGTGTTCTGTAGTCTCAGTTGTTTATTTTGTTAAATAATAACACATTTTTTTCCAGGACCTGGAACCCCTTGTATCAATACTTGTCCACCCAGGCTGAGGCCCACAGAGTCATTGTTGGGATACTCCCGGTGCTTGGGGCCCCCAGGTCTGGAGGGCTTGGCTTGGCTTTGCCTATATCTCCACCCCCCAGGCCTCCCCTGGGCCCTTCAGTGGTTTATTTTTGCTTTCACCTCCCTATTCGAGACATTTCTTTATCTTTGCTTTTGGGTCATACCCAGTGGTGCTCAGGGATCACTCCTGACAGGGCTTGGGGACCATATGTGGTGTTTAGAGATTGAACCCAGGTCGGCTTCGTGCAAGCAATGCCCGCTGTACTGTGCTCCAATTCTCTCAGGGGTCGGAGACTTCTTTAAGGACTTCTTTCTAACATCATCCACGAATTGTTTCCTTTATCCTCCTCCATTCTGGTTCCTCTCTGTTTCTGCCCTTGAACGTTGTCTAATTAAGGTCTCTGCTGTGGGACTAGCAGTGATGGCAGCCACCTTGTCTGGATTCTGATTTGGCAGAATGAGAAAACTTTCTCTTTTTTTTTGGTCTTTTTGGGTCACACCCGGCGATGCACAGGGGTTACTCCTGGCTCTGTACTCAGGAATTACTCCTGGCAATGCTCAGGGGACCATATGGGATGCTGGGAATTGAACCCGGGTCAGCCATGTGCAAGGCAAACACTATCCGCTGTGCTATTGCTTCAGCCCCCAGAATGAGAAAACTTTGCCTTCTCAGAGAGAAGGAAGGGAGCTGTGGCATGATTATGTTCAGCATCTCCCCTTTTATGTGCATTGAGAGTTTTTTTGGGTCACACTAGCTTGCTTGAGGCTACTCCTTGTGCATTGGGGATTTTGTCTCCCCAGCCTCGAGGTTTTTTAGTTTGGGGCTGAAATGGTAGGACAGCGGGGAGGGTGTTTGCCTTGTATGTGGTCAACCCTGGTTTGATCCCTGGTACCCCATAGGGTCTCCAGAGCACCACCATCAGTAATCCTTCAGTGCAGAGCCAGGACTAACCCTAAACACTGCTAGGTGTGGCCCCAAAGACAACGTTTTTTAAAATCATAAATGGGTGCTGTACATTGCCAAATGCATTCTCTGATGTTGGTGGTTCATCGGTGCACAGTGTATAGATAGGCCCCATGGTCCTTGAGACTTCTGATGGCTATTGCTGAAGTCCGTTTGCGAATATTTTGTTTATATCCTTTTTCATGAGAGAGATTATTCTGGTTTTGTATTTTTGTGGGAGAGGAGGAGCCACACCTCAGCTGCTCAGGAGCACTCTGGCAGTGCTCACGGACGGTCTTGAATGGCCTGTGCCTGAGCCCCTGTGTATACACACTTCATCAATCTGGCTCTTGGGGCCTCATGTCTGGTGTGGCAGTTCCTGCCCCAAGACAGGGGCCTCCCAGCTTCTCTGTTTCTCTCCTGCTGCTCCCGTTCCTCAGGCTGCCTCTGTGCACGGCTGTTTTCTTAGTTTTTATCTCCACTTTCCTTGTCCCCCGCCTCTCTAGTGCTTTCTGGTCACTTTTTGTTTTGGTTTTGTTTGTTTTGGCTTTCGGGCCACACCTGGTGGTTCTCAGGGCACGTCCCTGTCTCTCTGCCCAGGGATCACGCCTGGCAGGGCTCAGGGGATCATATAGGATGCTGAGGGTTGCACTTGTGCAAGGCAAGTGCCCTCACTGCTGTGCTATCGCTCCGGTGCTTCACTGGGATCTGTGGGCACAGCTTTTTGCTGGGACTCACTGTGGGGGCTCCAGGTTGACACAGTCACCTCAGGGTGCTGAGGACGGACCCACATTTAGCACCACTTTCAGCACCTGGTTGTGCCTCCAGGTGTGAGCCTCCTTACTGGGTGATTCCTGCTGCTCCCAGGGTTTGGGTCATTCCTGCCAGCCTGTGGGTCCCCATGAGTGCTGGGGGGTGATGCTGGTGTGGAGGAGACAGGACCTGCTCCCCTCAATATGAGCCCCCCTTGCAGAGGCTGGAGATCTGTACGTCTGGGGCTGGAACGAGGCTGGCCAGCTGGGCCTACCTGCGCGGGGCCTGGGGGAGCCCCAGGTGGCAGAAGGTAAGGCCCCCCCATTTCTTCTCCTCCTGCTGAGAAGGGGCACACAGAACCCAGGGGTGCACCTCAACTCTAGGTGGGGCAGAGCAACGATGGGGCCCCCTGGGAACCGCTTTGTTTTCTTGCCTTCCTCTTCCTGTGTCCTGCAGCTCCCAGCCTGGGTGGCGACACAGCTGCTGAGGACAAAAAGGAGGCGGACCCCTACATCGCCGTGCAGCCTTTTCCAGCCCTGCTGGACCTGCCCTCCGACTCGGACGTCATTGCGGCCAGCTGTGGGTCTCGGCACACGGCGGCCGTTACACGTGAGTCAGGCTCGGGTTTTATGGGGTGACTTGGGATGGAGCCTGTGTCCACTCCTTTCGGCGTGCAGACCGAGCACCCCTAGCAGTGGGGTGACTCAGGATGGAGCTCAGGCCCCCCACTGTGGACTCTGTTCCCTGGGACCTGCCTCAGCCAGGGGAACCCCAGGCGGTGGCCTGTCTGCCAGGCTCCCCCACACCTGCCGTGGGCTCCAGGGGACCTTGGTCGCCCCCATCATGGGCTCTTTGCTTGCAGGTACAGGGGAGCTGTACTCCTGGGGCTGGGGTAAGTCACTGTGCTTCTGGGATGCTGAAACGGGGCAGGGGCACTGGTCGCACCCCCTTATCTGGACTGCAGCTGGCCCAGTGGGGACAGCGGACAGGAGAAACAGGCGGGGGCAGTGCTGCTGACCCAGGGCTTCCCCCAGGCAAGTACGGGCAGCTCGGTCATGCCGACACCACCAGCCTGGACCGGCCCCGCCGCGTGTGCTACTTCGCGGATCAGCATCTCCGGGTGCTGGCCGTGAGCTGTGGGCCCTGGAGCACTTTCGTGTGTGCTGAGGAGGAGCCGAGAGCAGCCCCCTGAGCCCAAAGGAGCTGGGACCTCATCAGCGTGCCGCCAGCCTGCCTCTGCACGTGCACCTCAGCATTGCTCGGGAATGCGGTGCTCGTCTGGGGTCCTTGTGGTCCTTGCTCCCTGTTCTGGGCATTGCCCTGATTGGTTTGGGGAAAGCCAGTGCCCCCCGCCCCCAGCTCTGCTTTCCAGGACCGTCCTCTCAGCCTGCTCTCGCTAAGGGGCCTATTGACACTTCTCTACGATGTTTGTCCTTTCCTCAGTACGGGGTTGCAGGCTGTCCCCTCTCCCTTCTGCTCGCATCGTTTTGTTGCTTTTTCTGGAGCATCACCACTGGTTGATGCTTAGGGCCACTCCTTGCCTGTGCCTGCCTCCTGTGTAAAGCCAAGGCCCATGGTAGCCTGCCAGGCTCCAATCCTTATGTTGTCTAGGCAGTGACCAGGGGCACCTGTGGACCCGGTTGGATCTTGCGGGGCTCCATTGCTATGCTCCCACACATGTGGAGTGGGGGTCTTGTTCTTCCTGGCTGTGGTGCTGCTCAACACTTTCGTTGGGGGCTTCCTGTGATCCCCTCTGTGTAGTGCTTCCCTGCCCCTGACCATGGGCAGGAATGCACAGCAGCCACGCTGGCTCTCTGGGCCTGCTGTGTCCCTGCCTGGTCCCACAGGCTCTGCCTTTCTGCCACAGCTGTCTGCCCTGTTTTTCTTCTGATTCGAGGTATTAGAGGGCCAGACAGAGTATAGGGGACAAGGCGTCAGCCCCAATTCTATTCCCAATATGGTGTTCTGAGTACTACTGGGTCATTTCTAAGCTGACAGGAATAGCCAGTGAGCACCTGTGGGTGCGGCCCACACCTCCAAGAAAGGAAAATAAAGTATGTGATGCCTTCCCGTGGTGCCGAGGGGTCTACCCCAGGTCATGCTCGACTTGTCAGGTCATTGTGGGCCTGAAGGTTCCATGGTGCTGGAACCACACAGGGACAACCAGACTTGCACAGTGACCAAGTTCAGACTCTTACATGGGCAAGGCCTGTGCCCCACCCCTTACTGAACTGTTTCATTTTGTCTCTTTAAAGTTCCTTTTTTTTTTTTCTTTTGGGGTCACATTCGGTGATGCACAGGGATTACACCTGGCAGTGCTCAGGGGACCATATGGGATGCTGGGAATCGAATCCGGGTCGGCCATGTGCAAGGCAAATGCCCTACCCTCTTTAAGGTTCCTTTTAAAATCAGATAAGTGAAGGGCCAGAGATGTGCTCAGTGGTCTGGAGTGCTTACTTGGCCCGGAGGAGATGCTGGGGGCACACCCCACTGTTCTGCTAAGGACAGACTAATTTGAACTCTGGTGTTTATGCAGGGTATCGTGTTTGTGGTTGTTTCTCTTCTTTTTCTGTTTTGTAGGGTGGCTATGTCATGACAAGGTATCAGATATTCAGGTGTTTTGGGAGGGAGGATTACCATCTTAGCACTGCTGGGTGTTGCTCAAGAAAGTCAGTAAACACCCCCAAATTGTTTGCCCCCATTGATAGACTGTTATGACTATCCTTTGTAATGTGGTAGTTTTTATTATTGTTTTTCATCCCCTGAACAACTTACCAGGCTGAAAACCCAGTTGATCCTATCCTTAGGTGTCTGTTTTATAGTGCTTCTGTGCTGGTCACTTCATCTTGGCCTTTTTTTCCCCTGTTACTTGCTTTTCTTTTTTTAATTATTGTTTTTAAATGTAGAAGTACTGTTATTTATTCAGCCACTGAGTAAGCTGGATGATTCATTGTTTTAGTTGACTGGTGGTGGTATTTGTGATTCAGAATGTTTTACTTAGGATGTGATGTTAGTAGCAGAGTGTCTACATTAGTCTTACAAACTCTCCATGAGTTTGGTCCAAACATTAGGAATGTACACACATCTCTGTCATTCCTCACCTGGTCAGTGCTCAGATCACTGGCTCACGGGCTTCAGCAAGCACAGCACTTACTTCTCTGTCCTGTCACTACTTCATAGCAAACCAGGTTGCTCCTCTTGCTTTGGGCATACTCAGTCTCCTCTCCCTTAGCCCCATGTTTTATTTGATTCTACCCTGTGTCTTCCACGTTTTCCTTTTTTAATGGACACACCAGTTGTTCTTAGCAATAAAGTCCTGTGCCCTTTTATTCCTCACTACATCTGGCACAGTTTTCTGCGAATTGAGTATGTGGAACTTATTTCTTCATATAGGAGTACTTCAAAGTACTGTTATCGGGTGGGAGAGATGGTGCAGCAGCTAGGGTGCTTCCTCTGCGTGCAGCCAATCCATATTCAACCCCCAGCATCCCCGAGCACCTCCAGGAGTGATTTTCTGAGTACAGAGTCAGGAGTGACCCCTGAGCATAGCTGGTGTGGCCCCAAAACTAATAAACGGTTCTAATAATTCATTTCAGTGAGTTCTGTTAAAATTAATGTGATGATAGAATTGCTGTTTTAAGATTAGTATTATGGGTTACGGTTACTTATGGCAGTCATTACAGTTTCTGGTTTGTTTTATTTGATTATTAAAATATTACTGCCTGCTGTTATGTAATTGTCTATTTTTTTTGTGAAATAGATTTATTCTGAAGTCAGCTTATCCACTTCATCCAGCTAAAATCTGCATTTTAGGGCTGGAGCAATAGCACAGTGGGTAGGCGTTTGCCTTGCACGCGGCCGACCCGGGTTCCATTCCCCGCATCCCATATGGTCCCCCAAGCACCGCCAGGGGTAATTTCTGAGTGCAGAGCCAGGAGTAACCCCTGTGCATCGCCGGGTGTGACCCAAAAAGCAAAAAACAAAATAAAAAATCTGTATCTTGTCTCCTCCCCCCCCACCCTGTGTCAGTTAGGGAGATTATTGCTGTGCCCCCTCCTCAGGCGTCATTTCCTTCATCTCTTTCCACACGCAGTCACAGCGGCCTCTCCGTGGGGACAATGTTTTCCACCCCAGCAACTGCACCATTTTACTTTTAGTTCTGGTGTCCTGAAAACATTCTCTGTTTCCATTTTTATTCACATCACACTTGTTTCTGCCTTTAGTCTCCTGTGAATAAATACTGGAAATATTCCTGTCACCTGAACCTTGTGACGGACCCAGTTTGATCCCACCACCAGAGATCGTTGTTAGAAATCACCCCCCACCCCGCTTCGTTCTCTTGCTACTGTTCTGGGCAATGCTTGGAAATCTGGTGGCTGCTCCCTGATGTCTGTCCAGCTGGGTGGCAAGTTCAGTGCTTGCTTGGGAAAGAGAACTAAATGCTCCTAAGTCCAAGTGATGTGTGGGGACAACAGGGCCACACCTGACTGTAGGGCTGAATAGTGGGGTTTTGTGCACGAGACTTCTGCTCTTACACTGAAGGGAGCATCTTAGTCATCCTTAAAATACATCATCATTTCACATGGGAACTTCCATTATTAAATTCTAATTGTGTTTACTACAGTCTGTGTGTGTATACAGCGAGTACTATGAATAATTTTGGTAAACAGTTTACTTACAAATCATATATAATTTGTCAAAAATAATGTCAACATTTATAGATTTTCATCATCTTTTGCTTATGGGCATGATTTGGGATGTCATGGATTGCCACTTTCACAAAATGTAAAAAAGTATCCTGGTCAGGATTATCCGGGCTGTCCTGCTGTGCTCACATGGGTTCAGCACACTTAAGCACAGTGGCTAATGTACTTTGTTTGCATGCAGTATCATGATAGAGTAGTAATTATTAAATCCGTGAAGACTCAGCATTTGGGTAAATGCTAGTACCTTGGAATATCCACAACCCCTCCTCCTGAATGCGGGTTACTGCTCATCTAACAGCCCCCAGGGTTAGTCTAGCTTTCCTAATTTGCATTTTCATTGCTGAAGACCATTTTTTTTTTGTCTTTATTTCCATCATCTATTTCTGTTCCAGGCCATGCATGCAAAATGCTGCCCACAATGAAGGGTCTTTCACGCTTTATTTCTCTGACCAAATCACCATGTCAGAGTTTCTATAAATATTTCTCTGTCACTAATTGTTGGTGGTTTGGATTGTTCCCATGTTTTTCATGCTATGAATAATGCTGCTGTGAAGATGAGAATATGTGTTCTTTGAATATTAGCTAGGATTGCTATTGGGTGCATTCGATTATTTTCAGATTTCAGAATCTTTGTATATGTCCATAGAGTTTCACCTAATGAGACTCCAGTTTACTACCAGTGTTATGCAAGTCTTTTCCTAATGATCACAATTACCTGTTGCTCCCTTGCAGCATTCTCAGTTTTTCCAGTCCCTGACAGGATGGCTTCTGTCGTTACTGGTTTGCCCTCAGGATCCACAGGAAGATACAGTGAAGATGTCCATATATATTTCATTTTTGTTGCAGATGGTGTGAGATGAATGTCCACTTTTATTTTTCTGCACACGCATAATTGTTTAGTACTAATCATTGAGAGGAATGTTTTTGTCAGAATAATTTTTTTCTCTCTTTCGGGGATTACTCATGACCCTATTCAGGGTCATTGCTGGAAGTGCTGACAAGATTATAGTTTGCAGTATGCAAAGCAAGCACCTATACCCTTGTGACATCTGTCTGTCTGCTTATCATTAATGTTTTCCACATAATTATGAAACATTTTACTATAGGTAATCTGTTTTTGTGTGTTGATTTATATTTGTTTACTTGATGTTGCTTTATCAGTATATTTTAAGTGGGAAGTATAAATATCCAGCTCTTTTTTTTCATCTAAGCTCAGTATTTTTGTCACTGTTTCTGTCCTTTATAGACCAAAGAGAGCATGATGTGCAGGGTGGTGAGAGATATAGTGCATTGGGTGAACGAGGGACCCTGGTTCATTAGGCATAAACCTATTCCTGAGCAGTTTCATTCAGGCTGACATCATGTAAGATAAACAGATATGTTAAATTATTTATTTTTCATAGGATTCACTGTTAGTATAAACAAATAACCCTTTTAAAATTTTTTTACAACCTTTTAAAATATTTTTATCCTGTGACTTTGCTCAGTAATT